ATACACACTCTCTATTTGTCCTGTTTACCATCATCATCAAAAGTGAACGTAAAGAGAATCCCAAATTTTGGCTTGTCCCCAGAAAAGTAATAAAAGGGAAATCTTCTAATGGAGACACTTGTTCTGGTGAGCTGGGGTCCCCAAGGGAATTCCTTCATTTGCAGGGATTTCCTCTAACTTCCCATTTGGCTATCGGGACAGGAAGTGAAGGGAAATCTCTGAAACGGGACACAAACGGCAAAAAAAAAAAGAATCCGACTGGTAGCTCTACTTGACGTTTTTTATGGTGATAAAGATCTTGCAGCCTACAAATGAAATAAAGTAGAGAAATTACAACTGACCAGCAGGGAGATCCCTTGAACTTGAGAAAACTGACTTTTAAAATGAACTAGTCTCAAGACATGTGGAGACTAGTCTCAAGGCAAGTGGAGATGCTTGTAAGGAAAATCCTCCCAGGACGAAAGAAAGGCATAATTTCCACTCTAACTAGATTCTGGTAAATAGCCACAAGTACTCAAATAGTTACAAGTAGATATACAGTGGGGATCGAAAGTTTGGGCACCCCAGCTAAAAATTTGTATTAATGTGCATAAAGAAGCCAAGGAAAGATGGAAAAATCTCCAAAAGGCATCAAATTACAGATTAGACATTCTTATAATATGTCAACAAAAGTTAGATTTTATATCCATCATTTACACTTTCAAAATAACAGAAAACAAAAAAATGGCGTCTGCAAAAGTTTGGGCACCCTGCAGAATTTATAGCATGCACTGCCCCCTTTGCAAAGCTGAGACCTGCCAGTGTCATGGATTGTTCTCAATCATCATCTTGGAAGACCAGGTGATGTCAATCTCAAAGGTTTTAAATGCCCAGAGTCATCTGACCTTGCCCCAACAATCAAACTGAAAATAGTTGACGCTCACAAAGCTGGAGAAGGCTATAAGAAGATAGCAAAGCGTTTTCAGATGTCAATATCCTCTGTTCGGAATGTAATTAAGAAATGGCAGTCATCAGGAACAGTGGAAGTTAAAGCAAGATCTGGAAGACCAAGAAAAATATCAGACAGAACAGCTTGCAGGATTGTGAGAAAAACAATTCAAAACCCACGTTTGACTGCACGATCCTTTCAGAAAGATCTGGCAGACACTGGAGTTGTGGTGCACTATAAAGAGATACTTGTACAAATATGGTCTTCATGGAAGAGTCATCAGAAGAAAACCTCTTCTACGTCCTCACCACAAAAATCATCGTTTGAACTTTGAAAATGAACATATAGACAAGCCTGATGCATTTTGGAAACAAGTTCTGTGGACCGATGAGGTTAAATTTGAACTTTTTGGCCGGAATAAGCAAAGGTACGTTTGGAGAAGAAGGGGCACAGAAAATGAAAAGAACCTCTGTCCAACTGTTAAGCATGGGGTTGGATCAATCATGCTTTGGGGTTGTGTTGCAGCCAGTGGCACAGGGAACATCTCAGTAGAAGGAAAAATGGATTCAATCAAATTTCAGCAAATTTTGGATGGTAACTTGATGCCATCTGTGAAAAAGCTGAAGTTAAAGAAAGGATGGCTTCTACAAATGGATAATGATCCTAAACACACCTCGAAATCCACGGGGGATTACATCAAGAGACGTAAACTGAAGGTTTTGCCATGGCCTTCACAATCTCCTGACCTCAACATAATTGAAAATCTATGGATAGACCATAAAAGAGCAGTGCGTGACAGACAGCCCAGAAATCTCAAAGAACTGGAAGACTTTTGTAAGGAAGAATGGGCAAAGATACCTCAAACAAGAATTGAAAGACTCTTGGCTGGCTACAAAAAGCGTTTACAAGCTGTGATACTTGCCAAAGGGGGCAGTACAAGATATTAACTCTGCAGGGTGCGCAAACTTTTGCAGATGCCATTTTTTTGTTTTCTGTTATTTTGAAAGTGTAAATGATGGAAATAAAATCTAACTTTTGTTGACATATTATAAGAATGTCTAATCTGTAATTTGATGCCTTTTGTAGATTTTTCCATCTTTCCTTGGCTTCTTTATGCACATTAATACAAATTTTTAGCTGGGGTGCCCAAACTTTCGATCCCCACTGTACAGTGCCTTGAAAAGGTATTCATACCCCTTGAAACTTTCCACATTTTGTCATGTTATAACCAAAAACGTAAATGTATTTTATTGGGATTTTAGAGCCCGTATAGTGTAGTAGTTTATTTAATTAAACAGTAAAAAAAACTTCAAGAGAGGGGTGGATATCATGGAGAGTATGGATGAAAGCTTGTGACTTTTCTGGTGCGTGCAGGAGCCGCCATCTGTGTTCGCCCTGTTTTTCCCTTAAATGCTTGTAATAGGTTCTGTGAACCTTGTATCTATGTAAGTGGCATTTTTTATGGTAATAAAGCCTTACTACAGTAAGAGGAGTTCCTTATCTTTTGAGCACCTATCCATCGGAGTGCGGACGTAAAGATTGTTCCCTGGAAAGACTTGTGGAAGCAGAGAATCCAATGGGATACATATTGAGTGAACTATACTTTCTATGGGTCAGCTGTTAAAGGTGAGCGTGCATGCCTGAAGGAAGAGGAGCACGATAGATTTGCACATCTGTTGAAGTCACTGGTGCATTACTTTAAATGTTGGAAGAAAGACTGTTATATCTCTTTTGGACTGCATTTTGCACTTTATTAAGTGTTAGCTATCATTCACCATTTATCTGTTTTTGTATAAATTCAGAAGAGCTGCTTATCTCCTTTTTTTTTTTTTTTCTTACGCACTCTTTGTGAATATTTAGCCCAGTTGAACATTTACTTGACTCATCATATATTTATTCCACTGGGGGGGTGATTGCTCAGCCGGGAATTTGTTTTACAATCATTTAATACGTTTTTGTTGATTTTCACACTTTATGCTTCAGGTCAGCTGGGTGTTTATTACAGCTCAGCCAGGTATTTACTGCTATTGTGATCATGTTTTATTTCTGATATACGTTTCACATACCGTATTTTTCGCTGCATAAGATGCACTCCCCCCCCCCAAAAATGGGGGAAAATGTCTGTGTGTCTTATGGAGTGAATATGGAACGGCCGACCCGGTACTCTCTGTCGCCGCCGCCATGTTAGAGTATGAGGCTGGCCGCTCGGCTCTTCTGTGCAGCAGTTCCTGCTCCTCAGTCCTACCTGTTCCTTGGTCCTGCGGTGTCCTCATCACTGCTGGTTTCACCGGCCGTCTTCTATCCCTGGCGCCGGCATCTTCAGTGTGAGCATCCGGCTGTGACAGCTTGCGGCTTTGTGAATGGCCCCGTAGTCTTCTGGGACCTGTCACGTGTCTCAGAAGACTACAGGGAGGGAGGGAGGACAACTTCTGCTTCTGATCGCCTAGGCAATCGCAACGGAAGTGGGAGCGGGTACCTGTCAAATTCGGGTACTCGCTCCCCAATTGGTCTGCAGTCTCTGGTCATCTCCTGCACTATGTCCGCAGTCTCTGGTCATCTCCTGCACTATGTCCGCAGTCTCTGGTCATCTCCTGCACTATGTCCGCAGTCTCTGGTCATTCCTGCACTATGTCCGCAGTCTCTGGTCATCTCCTGTACTATGTCCGCAGTCTCTGGTCATCTCCTGTAGTACATCTGCAGTCTCTGGCCATTTCCTGTACTACATCTGCAGTCTTTGGTCATCTCCTGCACTATGTCTGCAGTCTCTGGTCATCTCCTGCACTGTGTCCGCAGTCTCTGGTCATCTCCTGTACTATGTCCGCAGTCTCTGGTCATCTCCTGTACTATGTCCGCAGTCTCTGGTCATCTCCTGTACTATGTCCGCAGTCTCTGGTCATCTCCTGTACTATGTCCGCAGTCTCTGGTCATCTCCTGTACTATGTCCGCAGTCTCTGGTCATCTCCTGTACTATGTCCGCAGTCTCTGGTCATCTCCTGTACTACGTCTGCAGTCTCTGGTCATTTCCTGTAGTACATCCGCAGTCTCTGTTTATTTACTATGTCTGCAGTCCATTGGTTCAGAATATATTTTTTCTTGCTTTCCTCCTCTAAAACCTAGGTGCGTCTTATGGTCAGGTACATCCTTTGGAGTGAAAAAATATGGTATTTTACTGTTTTTGTTGTTTTTACACTTTATTCTTCAGCTCAGCCAGGTGTTTATTATAGGTTGGCCAGGTGTTTATTGCCACTTGATTTTGATTTTTTTATATATATTTCACATATCATTTGGATTTAGTGGCTCAGCCAGTTTTTTTTTTTTTTAATTTACTATTGACTTTGTTTCGCAGATTTATTCTTATACATTGGGATTGATGCTCAGGAGGATGTTTATTAGTGTATTTTTTGGGTCACTGGAGGGCAGCACAGCACTATTCTTGGGGAGTTTTTATTGATGTGGGAACACATTCAGGTGCTTGCAGCAGCTTATCATTTATTTGTGGCAGTGCATGAGTATTATATCCTTATCATGGAGAGTAGTTTCTCAGTAGGAGGAGAAAGGATAAAAGAAAACTTATATCTGTTAAGGCTCCACGCAGGATCAGAGTGGTTGCTCTCTATGCCTCATGAGCTCCCATCCTGGGATCTTTGTGGAGTTCACAGGTGGGTATAGGAATCAATAAGGAGAAGCTGTGCTAAAAGCCCGTCAGTGGTTTCATCGGCAGAGACGCCCAAAGTGGTGTTTCTAAGAACTGGCAGGAGTAGTCTGCATTCATAAAAATACAAAGCATTCTGTGAGTGACTGAGCAGTACTAAGCCTGACTCGATTTTGTTCTGGGTACGGGGCAGGAAGTCCATGCGCTGTGGCCAGAACATAGCACTGTATACATATGTATCTGATGCTACATACAGTTTATACAGTGCTGACAAGAGGCACAAAAATTAATGAAGGAAATAGTTTGTTTGAACCATTTTCGTCTAAACGAACAATTTTGCAATACATCAATCCTGAAAATGGGCTTTAAAGCGGTGAACAGAAGTAGCAATGAAATATATGTTCCTGACAAGAAGCTTACCTTGAGGAAAGATTGTGATAAGACTATTTGTGAGACTAGGACTTGCTGATCGTCTGCTCCTCACTGTACTTTCATCTTTTCCAGAGAGCTTAGATGGGAACAGTAGCCTGTGATCTATAGATGCTGCAAAAAAAATTACAAAAAAAAGTAAAATTAATGTGCTGGTTTCCTTATTCACATTAAATGAGTAATCCAATACTTTTCTTTATAGAAGGTTTCCAGCAGCAGTGCTGGACATCCCCTTGACAAAGTCTCAGATGACGAAATGTGCATAGGGGTGGATTGTGAATACATCGTATCTCTGTGAGCTATTAGGAGCTGGGAAGCTGGTGGCCTGCTGGAGTCTGTAGCTTATTCAGGGTGCTCTTTTAGGTGCATAAATGTGATGTTCACATATCTTGTGTTTTGCCTGCAGTCTTTTATCATTGTAGGAGTATGCCATCTACAGTGCATCCAGAAGGTATTCACAGCGCTTAACTTTTGTCACATTTTGTTATGTTACAGCCTTATTCCAAAATGGATTAAATTATTTTTTTTCCTCAACATTCTACAAACAATACCCCATAATGACAATGTGAAAGAAGTTTGTTTTGAAATCTTTGCAAGTTCTTAAAAAAAAAAAAAAAAAAAAAAAAAAAAACCCACATGTACATAAGTATTCACAGCCTTTGCTCAATACTTTGTTGAAGCACCTTTAGCACCAATTACAGCCTCGAATCATTTTGAGTATGATGCTACAAGCTTGGCACACCTATTTTTGGGCAATTTCTCCCATTCTTCTTTGCAGTACCTCTCAAGCTCCATCAGGTTGGATGGGGAGCTTGTGAAAAACCACTAAAGGTAGGCTAGTGGAGAAGAATCATTCTAGGTGCTTAAAAAGTGGATCCCTTATCTGGGCTGTTTACAGAAAAGTGAGAAGGGCAAACACATTCAGTGAGTGCAACTCCAAGAGTGTGATGAAGGGAGCATGGAAGACTACTTATCTTGCTATTTCATTAACACACTGGGTGGACATTTGGAGATATTATATGAACACTATAGTTTAAGGTTATGTAATTTATGGACATAATACTGTGATCTGAATGCTTATATTTATTTACTGAATGAGCATTTTTGTCACATTTATATTTGTGTATTTCTTGGAGTTTATTAAGCAGCACTGTACTAGATAAGGATCTTGGATTCCATGATCTTTAGACGGTTTCACAATTAGATTAATAAAATCTAGCAAGCGGTGAGGTTGTCAGGCTCTGAATGAAGCATTGTGGGATTTGGAAGAAGGTGTGCCTAATCTTCCATGTCCAGCAATGGAAACTTTTCTGGCCCTCTGGAAGTACTATCAGAGCTCTACGTTCCTACGTTCAACAATAAGGGCCCAAGCACACTATTCCATGCGGTAACACAAGTCATGTGTGTGAGCATGCTGTGGTGCCATTCACTCTAATGGCACTTCAACGCACCTGCATTTTAATGTACTACCTTTGCGTGAGTTTACAAAAATGAGGCAGATCTGATGCTTTGTCCACTGTGGTGCATTAGTCAATTCAAATGAATGGCTTCCTTAATCACTTCAGCCTCCGTGACGTACCCATACATCTCCAGGTTACATGGTTAAACCAGAATGATGCCTGCAGCTGGTATCTTTTTTTTTTTTCTGGCGATGGGCTTTCATGCAACAGCGATCTTAACTGTTAATAAGCCCCTGGATTGCTTTTACAAGAGGTGGCAGGGGGTCCCCCACTCCTGTCCCCTTCCAGGGCTCTCCCCATCCCACTGAAGAGACCCGGACTGAAGTCGGCGGTTCGGCCGACTGATCATAGAGATGGCCAAGGAATGGAACAACCCCAGTCATCTTTATGGCCTAAGAAAACCGGAAGTGACAATTTGTCACTTCAGGTTTTGCCGGGATTACAATTACTTGCTTGTGAAAGCATCAGGTCAAACCAATCTGGGTATGATCTGATGAGGAAAAATCTGGGATCTAACAGACCCTGTCACTGCTCCATCTATCACAAGGGATGTTCATCCATAAAAGCAGAAAAAAAAAAAAAATGAAAGAGTGTAAAAACAAAAAATAAAATAAATGAAAAGTTAAAGCGCCTCCATCCTCCTGTGCTCACGCGCTAAGATGAATGCATACATAGGTCGCACATGCATATGTAAAATGGTTTTCGCACCAAACGTGAGGTATCGCCATGAAAGTTATAGTGAGAGCAATAATCCTGGCACCAGACCTCCTGTGTAACTCTAAATTGGTAACCTGTAAAGGCTTTTAAAGCGTTGCCTATGGATAATTTAATGTACCGTACTTTGTTGCTATTCCACAAGTGTGTGCAATTTTAAAGTGCGACATGTTAGGTATCTATTTACTCGCCATAACATCTTATTTTATATTTTACCAAACAATTGGGTATTAGATTGTTTTTTGTGCACTAAAATTCATTGAAGTGTATTTTTCCTCAAAAACAAAGCGTTTGAAAAAACTGCTACGCAAATACTATGAAAAATTGCAACTACCACCATTTTATTTTCTAGCTCCTTTTAAAATATATGTAAGATTTGGGGGTTCTAAGTAATTTTCTAGCACAAAAATTATGATTTTTACATGTAGGAGAGGAATGCCAGAAATGGCGGGGGGGGATGAAGTGGTTAACACAATGCATGTTAGACTGCTGGGGCGTGAATGAGCCCTAAAAGTATGATCTATCACATTAATCCTTCTGTTCAGCTGTATGATTAGATATGTGTGCTTAGTTCTATCCTTTCTATTGCATCAAACAAGTCATATAACCTATTATAATTAATCTTCATTTTAAAATGATGCTTTAAGAAAAAAATAATAATTTAGAGGCTACATAACCGTTAATTCAGATATGTCAAAATTCCTTGTGTAAGGAATGTTACAAATGAAAAAGATCAAAGTGCTCACCTGAACTATCTGTGCGATGAGAGGCTTTTCCTCTGCCAGATTTTTCCTTCCCGCTTTTGCTCAGGGCGAGTTTAGTGGGAATCTGTTGCTTAGCAAGTAATGGTTGCTTTTGGATCTGATTAGTGGCACTTAACAAATGGATAGGCACATCATTTTTCAATGCTGGCCTTGTGTCTGTGGAACTACTATCCCGACGCATAACTTCAGGTCTCTCCAGGTAATCAGCTGCTGATACAGAAGCACTGGTTTTGGTTAAAGGTTTCATAACAAGCTGACTAGCCCCTTCCAGGCTCTGCATTCCTTCACCGTTAAAGCTTGCTGAATGTGGTACACCCTAGAAAAATAAAAAAAAGTTGAATAGAAATAAAACGTCCAGACAATAACTAGTGACCAAAAAAAAAAAAAAAAAAAAAAAGAGTTGCAAAGCATATTGGTTTAGATGGTAAAGCTCAAAAGAATCTTCTTTATTTGCTGTAATACAATCAGGCTGCATATAAATACTAAGGCCAAATTATCAAGGCATATCAGGCAATTTTATTATACCAATATTTTCTATATGACCGAGTTGAACCAAAAAAAAAGGTCCACTAACCCAAGCAACTAGATTTTCTCTTGTGTGAACAACTCAAAAGATAGTATGGCTAAAATGCTACTACAATTACACAAACTGCCAGGAAAAACATATGCACATAGACAGCTGTAGGCAGTGCTACACAAAAAGTTAATTCAATGACTTCGATATTTCTAGGGTATTTACATAGCCTGACTTTTAAATCTACATTCCTTTTCTAGGTCAGTGAGTAAAGTATTAAATACAGAGAGAGGCAGACAGTTCCATGTATTTCTTCAAGAACAAATTTCTTTTAACCTTTTTTTTTTGCTGCAGCTTACACGACTATTAATTCCAAGACAGTGCCAGCATGTAAACAGACCCACGGATGCTACAGCAGTCAGGAGAGTCTGTTTACATTCAATACCCCTCCCCCACCAGATTTTTTTTTATGGAAGTGATTACAGTGCCTATAAAGATACTGGAACATTCCCACATGTAGGACATGGTATGGCCCTCCTCCACCACCACTACACGCACCAGGCTTATTTGTCCCCCAGAGTCCTCCAAAGCAGGTGACAATATGGAAAGTGGAGTTTGAAAGTGTACACATATTGCTCCCCCAGATGCTTCATGGCTGGAATTATACCCCCTGTCAAATTAAGCTGGCACTACTGCTGGCTGAATGATGCTCATTCAAGTGCAATGCACACAGTTGAGGCATGGTAGTCCAGCATTTTACAGCCACATGCTCTTTGAATTTCAATTCAAACACAGATCACTCTTCAGGGAACAACAAGAGTGTAAACGAGGCCTTAATTGGCCCTTCCCAATCAGAGTGCTGCTATATAGGAGACATCAAAAGGTTGATATAAAGTCATATTCAAAAGTACTCACAGTATACGCCTTTAAAACAATATATACAGTATCTCACAGAAGTGAGTTCACCCCTCACATTTTTGTAAATATTTTATTATATCTGTTCATGTGACACTGAAGAAATGACACTTTGCTACAATGTACAGTAGTGAGTGTACAGCTTGTATAACAGTGTAAATTTGCTGTCCCCTCAAAATAACTCAACACACAGCCATTAATGTCTAAACCACTGGCAACAAAAGTGAGTAAACCCCTAAGTGACAAGGTTCAAATTGGGACACTTGTCTTTGTACTCCTCACCATGTTGCCGCCACACACGGTTGACACCATCTGAACCAAATAAGTTTATCTTGGTCTCATCAGACCACAGGACATGGTCCCAGTAATACATGTCCTTAGTCTGCTTGTCTTCAGCAAACTGTTCGCAGGCTTTCTTGTGCATCATCTTTAGAAGAGGCTTCCTGCTGGGATGACAGCCATGCAGACCAATTTGATGCAGTGTGCGGCGTATGGTCTGAGCATGGACAAGCTACCCACCACCCCTTCAACCTCTGCAGCAATGCTGGCAGCACTTATACGTCTATTTCCCAAAGACAACCTCTGGATATGATGCTGAGCACGTGCACTCGAGGTCGACCATAGTGAGGCCTGTTCTGAGTGGAACCTGTCCTGTTAAACTGCTGTATGGTCTTGGCCACCGTGCTGCAGCTCAGTTTCAGGGTCTTGGCAATCTTCTTATAGCCTAGGCCATCTTTATGTAGAGCAACAATTCTTTTTTTTCAGATCCTCAGAGAGTTCTTTGCCATGAGGTGCCATGTTGAACTTCCAGTGACCAGTATGAGAGAGTGAGAGTGATGACACCAAATTTAACACATCTGCTTCCCATTCACATCTGAGACCTTGTAACATTAACGAGTCACATGACTGAGGAGGGAAAATGGCTAATTGGGCCCAATTTGGACATTTTCACTTAGGGGTGTACTCACTTTTGTTGCCAGCGGTTTAGACATTAATGGCTGTGTGTTGACTTATTATGAGGGGAAAGCAAATTTACACTGTTATACAAGCTGTACACTCACTACTTTCAGTGTAGCAAAGTGTCATTTCTTCAGAGTTGTCACATGAAAAGATAGAATAAAATATTTACAAAAATGTGAGGGGTGTACTCACTTCTGTGAGATACTGTAAATGTATCCAATTATTATCAAATAGCTACATTAATTTGTGTCTTTTTTTATCTGCATGCAGGTCACCTTTAAATGTAGTTACCTCAATAGTTCTTCCTGAAAAAACTACTAATGTATTACCTGATATACAGTCGACCATGCGAGACAACATGTATAAATTAGTACAAGAAAATAAATACCAAACTGTGGAAAATCAAACAAAGCCAAGGAAGTAAAATTACTACAACTAAACGTTTATATAAAAGCTCAAACTATGCACATACTGAAAAATAACTGGTTTCCCATCACATATACTTTTTTAGATATAACGAATGAATGCAAAACTGAATTGACAGCATACGTAACTAGCTACATTCTGACTACAATGTGTTTTGCTAACATAAAGGAAGAGTCTGTGTACACTGCATTGCGCCATCTTTACAATCTTAGAAGCAGTTTATCCTGGGGGCAGGTTTGCAATAAAGATGATTAGTAGAAACTATGGAGAGGATACTAGCCTGGCAGAATATGAATATATACGGTTTGACGTTTCAAATATGTTGAGAAAGGCAGCTCGACTCAAACTCCTTCTCAACTACAGTGTAGAGAAGACAAACAAGTATGGAGCATGCGTTTTTCTTGGGATTGGCCCTACATGGTGGTTAACCCCTAATTTCTTATATAACTCATGGACTGAAGATGAAGAAACCTCTGCCAACTTGCTACAGTTAAAAGACATGATCCCCATTTGCTTAGCTTTACAGTGACTTTCTCTATCTTGTACTATGAAGCTGAATTACAGACCATAGATTAATTAGAGTGAAAATTAGCTTTACCAAAGCATTAAAAAACTGAACTCTTACCAAAGTTACCTGGACCAGGTCTGGTGAAAAGGACCCAGCACTAACACTTGTTTTTTTTATCTTCTTCAACTGCTCCAAGCGCTCTCTGTCCTTCTCGACTGCTCTTTGTGCCTCACGGAGCCTCTCCAAATCATGTTGATAAGCTTGTCTTTGTTTTTCCAAATCTGACCGTTCCTGGTCTAACTTCTCCTTGTCTATCCGAGAAGTCTCCTCTCTTTTCCATAGCCTCATCTCAGCAGCCTCCATCTCTTTTTGATGCTTAGTTCTTTCACGTTCCCATCGCTGCTTTTCTTGTTTTAATTGCTCCTGCTGTTTTTGTACATTAGCCAACTCTTCTCTTTGCTTTTCAAAATTGCGTTGTTTCTCCTGCTCCAACAACCAATTACCTCTTGATGATTGCTGTCTCAGCTGTTTCTCTCGTTCTCTCTGCACCTCAAAGTAGCTGTCTTGTTGTATGACTATGGCCTGTAAAAGATCAATATAATTAGATATTCCACTCAGCTTTTTGATCAGAATTATCAAACAATTTCATTACTATGGAAGGCTAAAACGTGATCAAAAATTTAGTTGGTTTAGCAGGGGCTGTTCAAATTTTGATCAATATGTGGTCATCCCTGTTCAACAGAAGTGGATCATTTGATCGACTTCATACAGAGTGACAAATTGGAAGACTTGTTGATTGGCGGCTGCAGCCACTGATAAGCACATTCTCATAGTTGAGTCCTGCTGTCAGAATACAACATCCCAGCCACGGGGAATTCCTCTATGCATCTCACTTGTTTGAATGGCCAGCTAGAAGATACAGATAAAAAAAAAAAAAAAAGTCTCTAGGCACTAAAGAGGATGTCCTTTCCTAAATCTGGTAGATGTATGTTTTGTAAGTCGTAATTTTACATGTCACTGTTTTACCGAAATAGACTATTTAATAGTTATTATTGTTAAATATATTAACTTTCAAATATTTCCTCATATTTATACAGATTACAAGGACCTCAAATATATATAGCTACTTGTACAGAAAATTGTGTTATTTCTCAATTAACAAGGATATTTTTGCTATAAAACTGTCATGAAATAGCCTGTCCAATTACTATTAATTTAGATTAAAAAGACCATCAAACTAATAGCATTGCTTTTACATACTGTACAGTAGAACAGTTTTTAATGTGTGTCTATCTCCTTGTGATAGCAGATGTAAGCAAGGAGAAAGAGACAATAATAAAGCACAAACGCATATGTAATGTCTAATCAAGCTATCCAACCGACTAAGAAAAACTATCTAGTCTGGTTACAAATCAACTCTACAGGACCAGGGTCTGGTACCATTAGGCTGGTCCAGGCATTGGGTATACTACGTGATTATTTATGAAGTTTTATAAAGCATAAAAAGTCAGAAAAAACAAAAATTACATTTATGCATCAAGTTTAAAATTTTCAATTGTTTCATTATATTTTTTTTTTAATTCTATGTGCATCAATCCTCATAAATACCATAAAAATATTCCAGAGTTACCCATCTGCATTCATTTCCTTTATTTTTTTTGTCTACAAATCATTCTGCTCTATCAATATTTCCCTTTGTAGCCACCCATTCAGATGCACTGACAGCAGAAACTAGTATAGGTGATGATGAATGGTGAGACAGCGTGAAAGAACATAACCCCAGGATCCCTTTAGACAAGTATGTCTAAAGGCCATTGGACCATGAAGACTTTAGCTGTGCTGATCAGTTGTTTGATTACTGCTCCAAAAGTAGGTCTGGCAGATTGTAATTAAGCAAATGATATACTACACAACAAAAGCCTACACCAACCAGTGCCCATCTCTCTCCCTGGAACATGAACGTCCAAAGGGTGCCTGGGAATTAGTTATTTCACCCTGTTTCAGATGATCAGCAGTACAATGACTTGGGGCATTGCAAGGAACCATGGGAGAAATAATTTTGTAATCAGTGGGATACTGATGTATCAGTAAGAATAAACATTTCAACAATACTAATACAGCATAATTTACTGTAATCCGCTTAGTACACACCCCTAACTTTTGATGTATTGGGTATGTATTTACTTGGTACAACGTTATCTTCTAAATTGTACCCAAATATATGGTATTATATTGTGTTTGTGTGAACAATATAGATTTGATAAACAGTGGCACAATAATCCTGATATAAGATATATGTAAGAAACTGCAACTGCCATTTTATGCTACAGTGTCCCTTTTTGTCCCACTCCCTGGTTTGGGGGTTTACGTAATCTTCAGGCCTAAAATGTGCATTTAAAAACGTGCAAAAGAAGCCCCCCAAAAAAAAAAAAAACAAAAAACCCCCTCCAACAGCGAAAGGTTAGAGTAACCTTGAAGTTATATATCTTCCTATTATATCGAGGCTCTGCTTCCTACTTAAAAGAGTAGTTTCCCATTCCATTCCTTCCCCCTCCACCATGGAGTCACCATCCTACTATTCATTGACAGGGTTGTTTGTAAGCTCATACACAATCTTCTAATCCTATTTGATCTCTGCTGTTTATAAGCATGTGCCCCTGCTGTAACCATTGGAAATGCTGTCTATGCTAAAGAAACCTTTAACCTTCTTGTACCGATATACTGTTCTAAATCTTCAATAAAGAGCTATGGGAAATAAAAACACATAGACCTGGAAATGTTACCTCCAGAGAGTATTTGCTGAATGCCAGACTCACCATTTTAAAAACATGCCTCTGCATTTTATTGTGTAATATATGTGCAGTGGGTATAGAAAAGAATCACCCCCTTTAAAATACTCACATTTTGTTGCTTTTGAAGACGGACACAGTTAATAAATTAATACTGAAAAAAAAAAATTCCAACTCAGTGATTCCGTTTTTGTTTTTTCTGACACGTTGGTGTTATATCGTTCACTTGGATGTTATAAGTTTAACCTGAGCAAATACAGCTGGATAAAACAAAAACTTTGTCCGTCTTCATTTCAGGCTGCAACATACCAAAATGTGATTTTAAAGGGAAGGTGATTCTTTTCTACACTGTAAAATAACCATCTCAAATGGGTGGGTCAAGGCAGATAACAGGTGAAGTACTTACATCACTGTATACTAATCAATTAGCATTAACAAATGATTTGGAAACAAATTATTTTATATCAAACAGGAACTCCTGCTTCCACCTGACAAGAGTGAATACATTGATCACATTTATTGGCAGACACAAATCCATTACAAGTACTACACCAACAACAAATTGTTAAAAAGAAAAAAAAAGTTACTTGCCTGTAGACTATACAGCAACTGCAACAGTGTTTGCATCTTGTTGACGAGCTGTAAGAAAATATCAAGGTCAGAATGCATAACTATATTTATTTAGAAATATCAATTACCACTAAGAAACAATACTACAAAAGAAGCATATTGTGTAAAAGCCACAGAAATCTCAGCCACAGGTAACTATACAGCTAACAACTTTATTACCAATGGGAAAAAGCATCTATACAACCCCTATTATAACCAATGAATACAGTTGATATAAAGTCTACACACCCCTGTTAAAATGTCAGGTTTCTGTGATGTAATCCCACATGATCCAGCCATCTAAACTATCCAGAGAAGGGAGTTCCTGTAAGCAGGCATCAGCACCCATCCATCCCTTAAAGGGACCTCTGGCCAGCTGGATCCTTTTATTTTCCATGTGCTTCTGACACCACCCACCTAGAGGGAGGATTATCCTTGACCTAGACCAGATCCATATCCTTAAGGAGACCTCTACTGATTCATTTAATGCGTATATATATATTACGCATCTGGTGAGTGCGTAATTTTACCACACTATTTGGAGCACCACTAATGGATTTTACTGTGATTCCACACTATTTATCTGCACAGACTGTCACCTTCATTTTAACATATACTGGGCATTTAATTTAATTTTATTGAAATTATTTATTGATGGACAGACAATTATAATACTCTTTATTTTTAGTGCTGCACTTATATATTTTAAGTTATGAAGATGAATCCTTCAGAAAAAGGATACCTGGTAAAATAGATGTCTGTCCCCTGTGTATGTGTAAAATCAACGTACCCTCTGTGTGATCAGTGAACTTATATATTATTTAGAGGCTACATTACACAAACTCCAGTCTCTCCATTGCAAGACAGCTCCAGTCTGAAAGTGAGAGCCACACTGTGGAGATGATCAGCGAGCCCAGGGGTGTTACAGGAGGGATCTGTACACCTAGACAGGTCTCATGTGGGGAAGCTCATTTACGAGCTTTCCCTGGTCTAGCACAAGGCATTCAGGGTAATGCAGTTTGAGGCTTAACTAATGTATTACACACAAATAATTCCCTCCCCTCCATCACAAGGAGAAAATGCAGCCATGTTAAACCAGGAACATCAAGGAGTAACAAAAAGGCCATTAACAATCACAGGCAAAGGCAGAATTCAGCTTACAATAAACACTTCTGCTTCATGTACACAATGTGTACATTGCAGGAATTTTTTTGTTTTTTGTGTTTAACTGTCGAAAGGAAGAATTACCATTTAAAGCAGAACTAAACCTTCTAATCCTTTACAGCCAAGGAAGCTGCCATTCTAGCCTCTGCAGTTGCCATGGTGCTGCACAAATCCCTGGAATGTAACTCTTTTGGGAAACTGGTGGGTTTAATTTTGCTTTAATAAATACCTAAACCCTCCTATCCATTACAGCAAATACAGTAGCATTCTTAGCCAACCAAGATTGTGTTGTCAACGCTAAAGATAGACTGTGTCATATATGTCCATTTTTAATTTACCTTAAATACCACTTTAATGTGGGCTCAGCAAAGCATTTTTAATACCAATTCCTACTTTTGACACTTAATGAGATGCAGAACATCAAGAGAAAGGTCTCTTACAAGATACATGTAGAAGTTAAGCAGCTCTTGCTTTCTTGTATCTATACTGAACTGTCAAAATAACTGGGTCTAGATCCTGCATTTTCTAAGTTTAGGTCAAACAGAAAGAGGAAATTGCCAGGTAAAGTCTTTGCAGAAACCAATACTTACACCAATCAGCAATATTGACCACATGTATCTCCCCCCACAGTGCTTGGTGGTCCCACCCATCAATTTAAGAATAATGAGAGGGTTGTTTTTAATATTTTAATGGTGGTATTCATTTTAAAATGTTAGTTTTATTACCTCGGATTCTTGACATGTGGAAGGATTGCTGTTTTCCAGCAATGTCACTGACATTTCCGACTGTGGAATAAATGCAAAAAAGTTAAACTGAATAACTCATTAAAATGACGTATATCTGTAAGCACTGATCTTTCAAAGGGCCTCGCTCTAGGTTTTTTTCATTTGGTTGGCATCATTTTATGACATGATGCTTCAAACGGACCTTCAGTCATTTTGTTATTTTTCCTGATATTAAATATTCTGCCCTGTGTTATCTTTGAAAAGTCAAACATTCATTTGGTGCCAGTAAATACCATATATTTTATATTTCTGCTTTCTGCTTTTCTTGTACGCATAGGCAAGTGACGTGTTGTACAGCACTCGCACTGACTCCCAGGACAGAATCGTCAGGTATTGGTTTTTTTTTTTCCCTCTCACTCTAGTGAGCATTTGCTAGCAGGGAAGGTGGGCAGGGAAAGTGGAGGAGGGCTGAGGGAAGTCACAGGAGAGCTGAGGGTGGAAACAGGAGAAACACAATGCTTTGCAGACGCGCATGCGCAGTAAGCAGAGTGCTTCCGATCTAATGTGTAAACATTACTATAGCAGCGTGAGCAAACGTACGTTGACGCCGCTATAGCAACATGTAATCAAAGGGCTGGAAGCGCTGTATCTCTACTGCGCAGGTGCGGCTGCGCCCTTGATGTGCATTCACTTCCAGAGCTCTGCTTACTGTGCATGTGCGACCAGATGGCATTGTACTGTGCATGCGCGAAACTTTACCGGCCGGCAAGGTGGAGCAACATGAAAACAGGAAAACTGCGGCATGGGCTTCAATTGCCCTCAGTAAACATGGCAGCTCACACAAGAAGCGTGGGGTATGAAAAACGAGCAGTTTGACGGGTAATAAGTAAGGTTTAACACAATGCTAATGCCTAATGAACTGCATACTGTTATATTTTTTGGATTATGCGTGTTTGACTGCAGCTTCTCTTTAAGCATGAGACCTGCATTGATTTCTGAAGTCTTTCCTTTCTTTATCTTCTACCCCAATTACCTTTCCTGCTCTGCTCCATAAATCCCTTCTTCCTCTTTCCTTGTCTGTTATCCAATTTCAGTACAGCAATTAGAATATGGACAGCGCCACTGAAAATTAAATCAACCAACCAATATGTAAATTTATATATAAATTTGAAAGAGCAGCTAATCCGACCCTTAACAAGCTTTACATATAAAACAAAGAAAGGCAGCGCTCCTTCTTAATATACTCTCAAAGTGCTGAAACAAATCTAAACAAATACTTAAACTATATATTTTTTCTCCCACATTCTGGGTTTATTGAATAAGTTATATAAGGACATTTTTTGCTGGGGATAATTTACTGTATTTTATTATATTGATTTATATTTATTTTTGGTTTAAGGATTTATTTAGATTTGTATCAACACTTTGAGAGTACATTAAGAAGGAGCGCTTCCTTTCTTTGTTTTATAATTTCAGTACAGTATCTGTTCGCCTATGCTGAATGTAGGTCTCATTCAGGACACTCTTGGTTATTTTGTACTGCACAGTCCAACTTGCTGAAACTGATGTTTGGTGATCAAACTGGTACTATTGTACTTTATACTGACACATTTTGTACTGTCCTTGTTAAAATTCAATAAAGACCATTACAAAAAAATTCTGAGTAGTAATTTACATAATTGTTACAAAAAGAAAACTTTTTTTCTAAATCTATCTGTAGAGTTCAGGTCTTCTCTTCTGGCTATCCACTTACCCCCACCACTCTATGTTTGAAATGCCACCTAAAGGAAACTGCAGTGGGTAGTGATTCTTAAAGTGGAATTATACTCTCCTTCTTTTCAGTGCTGCGGTGTTCTGCAGCTTTTTGGCACCACAGACATCTTTGGCTAGTTTGCTTCCGGGTATCAATCTCTGGCCATTTTCATTGGCCAGGCCAAGATGACGACACTCCCACGCATGCATGAGAGTTCATCACAGCATTGATGAAGTTGTGCACTAAAACTGCTTGTGCACAGCCCAGTGTAAAGGGTGGACAAGCAGTTAGGAGTCTTTACTGCAGAATAGACATAGTAGAATAGGCCTGAACTGTGATATTAGTGTAACCTTACCTCTTAGAGGTATACAAAATGTGCTGTTATTTCACTTCTAAACTTTCCTTGTCAGAATACAAATGTCTCCTCAGTGTCAAGCTGCAAAGGATGACTTTTCTTGTGTCTGAACTCAAGGCTGAAAACTCTGTCTGGGCTGTTGAAGCAGAGTAACACAGTCACTTAAGGAAGACGAATTTACTCCCAGGTAGTCCTTAACAGCATCCTTGTCCTAAAGACAGTTTTCATGTCTCTTAAAAACACTAAGGTCAGACAGGAGTTAAGTGGTTATTTACCTTCATGTATTCTATGAAAAGAAATGTAAAAAAACCTTATATGTGCAGCAGCCCCCCCAGCCCCGTAATACTTGCCTGAGCCCCATCGCGATCCAGTGATGTGCACGGGAGACTCGGCTCTCCAAGGACTCTTACTCCTCATTGGCTGACACAGTAGTGGGAGCCACTGGCTCCCCCTGATGTCAATCACAGCCAGTAATGAGAGAGAGCGGGGACTGAGCTACAGCTATGTGTGTAAATGGAAACGCAGAGCAGTGGTTCAGGAGCAAGCCTGCTTGGGTGTCCCCATAGCAAGCTGCTTGTTCTGGGGGCACTCAGCAGGAGGGGAGGAGTCAGCGGCACCAGCAGGGCACCCAAGAAGAGGAGGATCGGGGCTGTTCTGTGCAAAACCACACCACAGAGCAGGTAAGTATGACATGTTATCCAGATAAAAGTGGTGCAGCGCTGAATAATAATATACGGTTATACACACAATATGCTAATGCAAACTTATACACATGCGTGAGTCACTCTGATGGTGATCAATAAATATTAAAAAAGTTCAATATAATGGTGCGCAATCATCCTCAGGTATGGACGTTAATTCCAGTGTGAGTGGACGTCCTGATCCAAGGTGTGATAATAGGTGCAAACCACACAAATAGGTGAAAAACGCACTCACCAGATGTGCGTTTCAAATACTCAATATATATCCTGCTTCAACAGGCCATAGATTGGTCATCAAATCTCGGATCGGGTATACCCACAGATCGCCTTCAATTTCCACGAGGCAAGATCACAGAAAACTGCTACAGGTATCACCACCAGGGTCATGGTTCCTCCAGATGGGCACTGCGAATGATAGCACTCACACAGAGTGCCCAATGAGAGACCACATAGCGTGATACTGCTTAAGAAACCTTTATTCAGGTTTAGTTGGTGTGGGGTACATAAAAGGATTTTCAAAAAAAGAGGCACTGACCATACATTCCAGGGTGTCCACCAGGGGTGGTAAGATGTCCTGTTGCTGCTGCCCCCCCTGCCGTGTTTCGTGCGATGCACGTATTCATAGGGATAAGGGCTAGCCCTTATCCCTATGAATACGTGCATCGCACGAAACGCGTCAGTGGGGGGTTGGCATATTGTGTGTATTAACCGTATATTATTATTCAGCGCTGCACCACTTTATATCTTTTTCTACAGGTAAGTATGACATGTTCTGGGTTTTTTTTTTCCTTAATTGCCTTTAACCACTTCAGGACCAGTGATGAACCAGTGAGTCACTGGACTTTGGATGGTTATACTACAGGCATCACCTCGGTACCGTTGTTTTAGAGCCAGACAGCCGAACAATGCCAAGATTGGCATTGATCGGCTCTCCCTTATACTTAACTGGAAGCGATGAACTGACATCACATTCAGTTTACTCTGAACTAAACGGCGTCAATTTTTAAAAACTGAAAGCATACAAAAAACATCAACCTTGTTTTATTGAATGCTTTTAAGTGCAGAGGAGGGATCTGGGGTCCATTAGACCCCTGATCCCTCCATAAAGAGTACCTGTCATGTGTCTATTGCTGTCACAATCAATGTTTTATTGCTATCACAAGGAATGCAAAGTGATTAAAAAAAAAATTAAAGCGACAGTGTAAAAATAAAAAAAAAAAATAAAAAAGTGCCCCACCCTCACGTGCAAAGGCGCACGCACACAAACAGAGATCATCCCACACGTCAGGTATCACAGCGAATGTCAGATCATGGGCAGTAATTCTTGACCTCCTCTGTAAATCTAAAGTGGTAACCTGTAAAGACTTTTAAAGTGTCACATTTGAGTAGTAAAATTTACGTTGTTTGTCGCCATTGCACAGGCATGCGCAATTTTAAGATGTGACATGTTTGGTGTCTATTTTCTCAGTGTATTATCATATTTTATATTTTACAAAAAAATTGGGATAAGTATTGTGTTATTTTTAATATAAATTCAAAAAAGTGTATTTTTTCCTAAAAAATGCATTTGCAAAACTGCTGCGCAAATGTGACAAAAAAAAAAAAAAAAAAAAAAAAAAAGCAAAGCCCATAAAGTTATTCTCTAGGACCTCTACTTTAAAAACAATATATAATGTTTGGGAGTTCTAAGACATGTTCTAGCAAAAAATACTGATTTTAACGTAACGTGTAAACCAAAAGTACCTGAAATGGCCTGGAGCTGAAGTGGTTAATATCACTTTAAAGTGGAACTAAACTATATGTATGCTAGATAAACTGTAAGCAACTCACCTTAAAAACATTAGGTCTCACACACAGCAATGTACAGCAGACTCTGTATTGACTCTCTCTCCATTAGAAAATGAAACCATGTATACACACATCTGTCCTAGCATCAAGCAGGTGCCACAAGTAATTTGTGCTGTGCAGGGGAGACAGCAGTGTCCTCTGGCAGCATCCTCTTGAACAGCTATAACTATGTGCAACGTGAATAATGATCAGCTATTCCAACATCCCCATATCTGTGCATAGTATTAAAAAGAAAAAAACACCAACACTTAAACCCTGTCGTTGGCAATTGATTCTCTTTAAATATGTATAAATGTTCTTGCATCTATTTTGCAAATGCATAATGAAATTTCACAAGCAATTCTTGAATGACATATTGGGATACTTTTACCTCACTATTCACAAGATCTTGAATTTGGCTTTCTGAGCTAGTGGATGTTGTACGTCGCTCTTTGACCCTCTGTTTAAAGCTGCCACCTGCAAAAAAAAAAAAAAAAAAAAAACATTTCCTACATTAATGGCTTTAATCATAGTTAACCACTTGCCCTCCAGAGCACTTACTACCCCCCTTCCTGACCAGGCCTTTGTTTGCGTTACGGCGCTGCGTTACTTTATCTGACAATTGTGTGGACATTATTATTATTATTATACAGGACTTCTATAGCGCCGACAGTTTGCTCAGCGCTTTACATTATGGAGAGAGACAGTACAGTAACAATACAGTTCAATACAAGAGGGATTAGAGGGTACTGCTCCTTGGAGCTTACAATCTAGGAGGGAGGGGATAGTGGTACAAGAGGGAATTAGCTGTGGGGGATGGACTGGTAGGAGGAGTAGGGGATTCCAGTATTTAGCTGGGGTCGGGGTAGGCTTCCCTGAAGAGATGGGTTTTCAGAGTGCGCCTAAAAGTGAGCAGAGTAGGTGATAGCCTGATAGCTTGGGGTAGGGAGTTCCAGAGGATGGGTGAAGCCCTTGAGAAATCCTGGAGACGAGCATGGGAGGAGGAGACAAGGGAGCTAGAGAGTAGGAGGTCTTGCGAGGAGCGGAGAGTACGATTTGGGTGGTATTTAGAGACAAGGTCGGTGATGTAATTTGGGGCAGTGTTATGAACGGCTTTATACGTCAGTGTTAGTGTTTTGAATTTTATCCGTTGGGCAATTGGAAGCCAGTGGAGGGATTGGCAGAGAGGGGTGGCATATACAGAGCGGTTAGTAAGATGAATGAGTCTGGCAGCAGCATTCATGATGGACTGGAGTGGGGATAGCCTGCGATGAGGTAGGCCAGTGAGGAGGGAGTTACAGTAGTCAAGGCGTGATATAATAAGGGAGTGAATAAGTTGCTTAGTAATTTCAGAGGTTAGGAACAGTCGTATCTTGGAGATGTTGCGGAGCTGAAGTCTACATGAGTTTGTCAGTGATTGGATTTGGGGCTGAAAGGACAGATTGGAGTCTAGGATTACACCTAGTACCTTGGCGTGAGGGGTGGGACTGATGGTAGTGTTGTTGATATTGATGGAGAAGTCGGGGGGGGGGGGGGCACGGGCTGGGGGGAATACTAGAAGCTCAGCACTAGAATCTGGATATGCAACGCTGCTCAGTACTAGAAGCTTAGAAGCTGGACATGCAACGGTGCACCCAAATGAAATTTACGTCCTTTTTATTCCCCCATAAATAGAGCTTTCTTTTGGTGGTATTTGATCACCTCTGCGTTTTTTTTTTTTTTTGTGCTATTAAGACAAAAAAAAAAAATATATTTTAGATTTTTTGCTATTAAACGCGTCTAGTAAAAAAAAAATCTAATTTCGTCATAAATTTAAAAATGTACTGTGCTACATGTCTTTGCTAAAAAAAAAACCAAAGAACAAAAACACTGTGTAAATGTATTGGTTTAAGTGAAAGTTATAGCATTTACAAATGGTGGTATATATACTTTTTTTAATTATTTATTTTTACTAGTAATGGCAGCAATCAGCGACTTATAGTGGCACTGCTGCGGGCATTCCGACACTGGAGGGAACGGACTTGGTGTCATCATCCCCAGTGGCATTAATTCAGTGATCAGTGCTAATAAAAAGCACTGACACTGTACTAATGGCACTGGGCAGGAAAGGGTTAACATGTGGGGTGATCAAAGGATTAACAGTGTGCAGTTTTACATGTTGGGCTGTGTTTGTGCTTTACTGTAAGCACAATGTTTTGCATGGCCGTACTATGCAAAGCCATGCAAAGCAGTGTGCAGTAGCTGACAGGGGAGAGAACTGTTTCGTTTTTAAACAGATGGCTGGCAATCATCGCGCGCCGGCAAGTAATCATTGGCTGGGACCCTGTGATTGATAGCCAAGGCTCGCGCGCGTCCCCTACCTGAAAGTTTTAAATCATATATATATTGCCGCCCTGTAGAGGTACTTCTGCTATAGGGCGAACAGGAAGCGGTTAAAGTGTGCACGTTTATGCAATAGTTCACGTAAAGCTGAACTCTGGGCACAAAAACTGTCATTTACATATATTCCTCAATAGCCACAATGAAAATATATCCATATACTCAGGGATGCTGATAAGGCGGTATAACTGGCCCACCTGAACCGGGCCCCTAACAGTTCAAAAAAGGGGCCTGCTGAGGGGGGAGGGATAGCTGTCCTGCCTTATTGCTCCTCTTTGCGGCTTTCCCTGAATCGCTGCTAGCCTATCCTTTTGTCCCTCCTTCCAACTTCACAACAGGGTGACCCACTCAAGTATCTGCGCCCCCCACCCCCCGCTTACCACTCCTCCGACCCCCCCTCCCAAGCAGCTGAGCCGACTTCTGTCCTCTCCCTCCGGTAATTGCTGAGGGCAGACAGGGGGGAACCTTTCTTTCCACAATGAACAGAGTGCGTGACCGGTACCGCTTCCCAATCATTGACTGTCCAGTGCAGCTGAGGCTGCAGAGAAAGGGACAAAGGAATGTATTTCCTTGGTTCCTTTCTTTTCTCAAAAGTCAGACATCAAGGGTATGTGATATTCCACCAAAGCCACCAAAAAAATGTAAAAAAAATTCTAGAAAATAATTTAAGAGAAATTAAGGGCTTGTTCAAATGTGCTTGGTCTCTGAAGAGCTTTCAATATTTGGATCAATTAATTTTTTATTGATTTTTAAACATATTACAACAAGCAGTCGAAAAGGTAAATGCAAAATAAGAGAGGGAGAGAAAGCCGAAAAACAAGCTCATCAATGAGAGGTTCATAAGTACGTACAATGTCAATACAGAACAGTGAAATGGCAATCATTCACAAACAATCTGAGCAGACAGATCAGTGTTATAGGTGTCCCATGGGTCCCAAACTGTTTCAAACGCAGGGACAGTAGCAGAGTGTAAAGCAGTTAGGTACTCCATCTTTCTAATCTCTGCTACAACCTTCATCAGTTCCAGTAACATGGGGGATATAGAAGAAAACCAATGCATTGGAGTGGTTCTCCTGGCTGCCGTTAAAATGTGGGTGGAAAGTTTCCGTGCACATTTAGAGAGACTCGAAAAAGGTACACCCAGAAGAAAGTAAATGGGCTCAAAAGGAACAGGAGCCCGCAAAAGTAATCCCAATAGAGTAAGGACCTCCCTCCAAAAGGGTGCAATGGACAGGCAATCCCGAAAAAGAGTTCTAGTTTCCTTCCCACAACGCCAGCAAACAGAATAAACATTCGGGTTACAAGCATGGAGAACCTCAGGAGTCCTATACCAAAACATCAGGATCTTATAAGTAATTTCTTTGTACACTAACACACAGAAGATTTAAAGGCGGCCCCTGTTCCATTGATCCAAACCAATATCGCATTGAAGGAAACTGGACCATTTACGCATATAAAGGGGAGTATCAATAGAAAGAGGACAGGCATCTAAAAGCAATTTATACGTAGCAGATATTCTGCCCCGTTGGTATGGGCCTTGGATGCAGATATGCTCAAAAGGGTATGTTTCGCAAGAGTCAGCGAAGAGGCTTTGGAGGCAAAAAAATTACGTATCTATAGATAAACAAAATACTGATGGGGTGGCATACGAGCAGCTTTTGAATGTCAGGAAAGGATTTAAGCTTGCGAGTTACTGGATTGACCACATGTTGCAGTTGGAATAGATTAGCTTCGGCCTAAGGACACATACGAACCATGGCCAGACTATGTGGGAAACTTGGATTAAAAACGATGTTGGTCAAGGGGGAACACTTGGCGCCTAGGGTAAATCTAACCCTACACCTCCTCCATACAATGTAAATTTGGATCCCTCTTTGAAGAGCATTTGACAGGTGGTGAGAAGGTATATAGCCTCCTCACTGTGTGATTTAACCCTGCACTAGCAGGCTTGCAGAGCCGTGCTATTCACTTGTTATTGGGTCTTGTTTGACAGGGGTATAATTTCTGCCATAACCCCCTAGCCACTGCCACGGTTTAGTGGCTGGTAAACGTACAGCTCAACTTTGGGGTTTTACCACCCCAAAGCCCTTAGGACTCATTCACACAGGTACTCCCACCATGTGAATTAATTGTTCATGTGGCTAGAACTGATTGTTATTCTAAGGGTACGCAGCAGCTGTACGAACACAGCCGCAAGTTCCCAATCTGACAGGTGTGCAGGCATGAGTAAGTGACCCTGAATGCACACTGTCTGTGTTTAGGGTCATACACCTACACCCACACTCCTGTCAAATTATGACCTGCAGCATCCCCATAGCATTACATAGACTGACTGCACACAGATCCAGGCAGCTCCAGCCCAGCCACAAACAAACCACTAAATTAAACTCTACAGGCAAAAGCACCAATCTGAATGAGTTACAAGACCTTTATTAGCCTTATTTATTCACTCAATATACTTTTATTTTTTAGATTTAGCAGGAATTCTGTTGTGTTTGTCCCCTCTAATTATGGTTTGAATGGATTTTTAGCGAAAATATTATTTAATATTATCTGGGGGGGGGGGGGGTGCAGTGGGTGTAGCAGAACCTTGGCTGGGACCCAGCAGGTCCAACTACCTACAATCTGCCTACAAATACTACATGGCTACATGACCAGTGATCTTGCACATGGGGAGTCAGCAGCAGTGACTGGTCTATATTCCACAGGAAGCACAGAGGCATACTTTCATTCTGGATTACTACACACAACTTGAAAGAATTACACAAAAGGAAACCAAGATTTAGTGAGAATCCACATGGGTTCCTTGTTTTCAGATAATACTTGCTTTGTTTGGATTTCAGCTTCAAGATAAATACAACCTCCAGTTTAATTTAGGCCTCACGATCGTGGTGGGTGAGTGCAGGAATCACGGTGATTCCCACCCGCAGTCAAACGTGCTGCTGTTTAAAAATACGCAGAACTGCCAATTTATTCTTAACAGCACCCCCATCCATCTCAAACTGCAGCAAGTTTATGGGTGCAGGAACCGCATTGAAATTGCTTAATGCAAAAGCACCATGCAATTTCCTGCATCCGCATTTGGAAAAGGTGCATGCCTTTTTTCCTGCAGGAAATGCAGGCATGGCAGTCCACTCAAATGAATACAATGCTGTGCCCATGCAAACATGGACCGCAAACTTGCTAAGGTGTTAACCTAATGGCTTTTACATGTAGACCTTATATTTGAGTTAATTTACAGCTCCTGCATAAATCTGCTAACTTTTGCACTATAACTGTGCAATTGTGCAGTGTCCATTCACAATGACTTTACCAGCACTGTTTAACCACTTCCCGTCCGGCCCATGTACATAAACGGACGGACAGGAGCAGTGCAAGAGCGGGTGGCCGTTTATAAACGTCCTCTTGCATTCTCTGCCTGTGCGTGCTCCCTGACACAGCAGAACACCGATCGCTGAACAGAACCTCTGTGTGAGGTCCCGATCATGTCATCACTGATTGGCCAATTCGTGATCACATGAACAGTAGTAAACAAGATGTCACTTCCGGACATCATTGCTTACTACTTGTGAATTCTGTGAACGATCACAGAGGTCACATGGTACAAGGCTATTCACAACAGCCTTTTACCATGTGACAAGCTGTGACCAATCACAGCTCTCACAGTATTTCTCAATGGCTGCAAGAATGCAAAAAAACCCCAATACACATAAATTAATTGGTTTACATGAAAGTTATAGTGTCTATAAATGGACATATATATACTGGATTTTTTTTTTTTTTTTCACTACTAATGGTGGCAATCAGCGACTTATTGTGGGACTGCGGTGGGCATTCTAACACTGGGGGGGGAACTGACTAACTGCCACTGACATCTTCAGTGCAATTAATGCAGTGATCAGTGCTAATAAAAAGCACTGACACTGTACTAATGACAATGGGCAGGAAAGGGTTAACACCTTGGGTGATCAAAGGGTTAAAGGTGTGCTGTGTGTGTTTTACTGTGTAGACAAGCTGCTTTGTAGAGCAATACAAAGCAGCCTGTCTGTGCCGACAGGGGAGAGATCTGTATTGTTTATATACATACCTCTCCCGTCAGCTCTGCAGATGATAACCAAGTCCCGGCTGAGAATTGGCGGCCGGGAGCCGGCGAATGACATGCCGAAGAGCCAATAGTGGCATGGGTAGAAAGTGTGCGTGCCCCCTACCTGGAAATACAAAATCACGTATACACACGTGATTTTGAGCATCCCTGCTGCCCTGTAGTAGTACTTCTGCTATAGGGAAGTCGGGCAGCGCGTTTTAAAAAAGTATTTTCTACATAGCTTCAGCCTGGTGGTGCTAAATGCAGATAAAAAAAACAATATAATGTGAAGTCCTATGGTTGAGATCAGATAACTGTAAATTATCCAGCTGACTTGGGTTTTCTTTTTCTCTTGGCGATCACATGAATAATATGAATAGTTGTATCATGCACGCAGAAGTATACAACCTACACAAATCTATGGCAAACACCTATCTTGGGTAAATATATTAAAATACAGCCAAACCTTTTTTTTTTATATAGAATAGGGAGGTGTCAACACTCCTGTAACATTTTTTGTGATAGAGATGCAATAGATAGGGGGAAACCTCTAAACACTGTTAAAAGAATAATTGGCAGCATTTCTCATGATATGAAGACATTCACTATAACAACTATTAATAAACTAAGTAAAAATTAGTTATTAGTAAACAAAACATATCATTACTGCCATTCATTAACACCTTCACTTTAATTCCTTATTAAAATCCAATCTCACTTTTTGAATGTCCAGAGCTGTCATAACCTCCAAATGTCTCAGATCGTCTTGGCAATGCACAAACACTTGTGTTTGTATCTTCATGTGGATTGGAGAAGAGACATAGCATGGTATAGATCTTTTCAGCTGCAAGAATAAAGGATGCATCTAAGTCAGGAATGACCAAACTGACAAGAAAACAGTAATCCTTTCTCCTTTGTTACATTGTTTAACAATGGATGTATAAAGAACAATAAGCAAAAAAAACCATATCCCTGAAAGACACAGAAAACCTATACCTATATTATTGTCATATTTCTCATATTACAACCATTCGAAAACAAACAAAATTAGTATTTTTTTTTTTTGCGCATTCGTTAATACCTTCCACTATGGCAGAGACTAGTGTGCTTTCTCCTTGTAGGTTGTCTGCACTTTCAGATGCAACAAAAAGTCTCATCCTGGATCCTTGAGAAGTATCATCAAAACCATTTATGTCAGCCATGTCTATAAAAAGCTGTAGCTTTTCACTTAACGTTTGCATTATATATGTATCCTTCAAATTCAGACGCTCTGCATAAGAAAACAATACATGACTGCAGATATGACACTGAGTGTGTATATGGCATTTAAAAGTAATTAAAGTAGCACTAATTAAGTTTAGAAAAACAAATCTTAGATTTTTATTTACCTTCGTAATCCTTAATTCTAGCAGCACGCTCGTATGCCTGTTTCCGTTCAATATCCGCTTCATTTGTTATTTCTTCTTCATCTGGACAACTTAACAAAAGAATAGGTAATTTTAAATAAACTGACAAGATAAGTATAGTACAAGTAGAGATCAAAAGACTAATTCTACATATTAAAGATGGAGCCCACAAGAGCACCAGTTTAAAATACTGTATAGTAAGTTAAGATATTATTCAACTACACAGATAAACGTTCTAATTGTTAAGGACACTGGGGCTCCTAATAAAAGGGGTTTAACCAGTTGCAGCCCGGCCTATAGCCAGATGGTCGCCGGGCGAACAGCTCGTCCCTCTGGGTGGACACCATATGGTGTCCTTTCCGGAACGCGCATTGTGCACGCCCGCGGGCCGCGCTGTAGCAAGATCTGTCACCGGCCATGTACCACAGACAAGGCCGATGACAGATCTGTGTACCGGCCCCGTTGCCAGTACCATGTGACCTGCTGTGACCAATCACAGCAGGTCACATGACAGTTGTATACAATGGATGGCTTCCTTTCATGCCATCCATTATATACAAGTGTGTCTAGCTGTGAATGGTCACAGCGATCACATGCACAAGCTGGGCCAATCACAGCCCAGTTGTGTCATGTGATTAGCCGTGACCAAATCACAGCTAATCACACAAAAAAAAAAAAACCTTGAATGAATCGATTTCATTCAGGTAAATGCTTGCTTATAGCAAAGTAATTCTTTGCTCTAAGCAAATTTCATTACAAAAAAAAAAAAAAAATACTGATTACTTCCCCAAAGTAGTACAATGTTACTATGGTAACATTATACTACTTTGGTCATAGTGCAATATGAAAAAAAAAAAATCTTAAAAAAAAAAGAGAAAAAAATGTAATAAAAAATATATAATTTTTTTTTTGTACTCTCACCAGTCAGTGTCCCTGATCACCGCCATGCCAGTTATATGATGACACTGTACTGCACTGGTTACAGTATGTAAAAAAAAAAAAAAAAATAGTGAAAAATATTTTTTTTTTTTTAATTTCTTCATTTTCCAAAAAATCACAAAAAAATTACAACTTCAAAAAAACTCGCCATGCCTGTTATGAAATACGTCGGGCTGTCTACTTTGCAAAAAGGGGTCATTTGGAGGATATCTGTACTGTTCTGACATTCTTGGACCTCAAGAAATTAGATTGGCTGTCAGTACTTCAGGACTGATCAATTTTCAGATATAGCCCATAGTTTGTGAACTCTATAACTTTCCTACAGTCTAAATAATAAATACTGATTTGGATTATTTTCACCAAAGAAATGTAGCAGAAAACACATCTTGGCCTAAATTTATGAAGAACAATTATTTATTTGCAAACTTTTATAACAGAAACAAAGAAAACGTGGGTAACAAACAAATTTTCGGTCTTTTTTTTTGTTAATTTAGCAAAAAATAAAAACCCCGGTGGTGATTAAATACCACCAAAAGAAAGATCTTTGTGAAGAAAATGATAACATTTTAGTTTGGGTACAATGTTGTATGACCGCCCAATTGTCATTCAAAGTGTGAGAGCGCTGAAACATGAAAATTGGCCTGGGTAGGAACGTTAAAAGTGCCCGGTATGGAAGTGGTTAAAGGAAAAAAAACACTTATTGTCCATAATCAATTTATGCTGTTTTGTGCATAACTGAGAACAATATAAGGACTGTAATTGGGAGGGGCAGCAAACAAATTCATATAGAAATTTGTTCAAGAGTCAAAAACGAACATCCTGCTGTAACATGCAACAGCATGCACATTTAGCCATAGATATAAAAACCCTATTAAAATCAGGGATCCATCAGACTGCTGTGGTGTACCTCTCCACAGCACCACGAATCAGTGTCATCCAAGTATTCCTCTCTTTGGAGGCCGTATGAATTTCATACATCTCTGGGCCTTTCAGTGAAGCACTTATGAGGAACATGGCCTTTTCCTCATTAGCCACCTCTCGGACTATCAGCTTTTGTAATGAAATAACAGGAGGTTTGGCATCCTAGAAGATAAAATGGTTTGTTCATATGCATGATGAAATGGTTTCAATTAAACACACTTTTGTTTTAACAAACATCTATACAGTTTCAAATATTAGTAACTTGGCCTATGTAGATTAATTTGAAGTGACACTAAAGACTAATAGAAACTAATTATTCTCAAAAAAGAATCCATATAAATTTACAACTTAATTGTCCTGTACTCTATTTTTCATGAAATTGTTTGTGTTTATCTGCCTCCTTTTACTGATCTCCATGAGCCTCTGAACCTCTCCTTTTCCCTCCTAACTTCGGTTTCTTTGAAATGAGCAGTACACTTTAGTTATGGTCCCATGCATTGCTCGATACACATTACAAACCCCAAGGTCCATAGTCCATCTCAGGAGTGAGTAAGAGACTGGCTATGTTCCTACATACAGTGGAACCATATAGAACAAAAGTAAACACCCTCAATCAGGAAGTAGCATCACAGCAGCAAAAAGAAGAATTTGAAGATTTGGAATAGAATGAGAGCAATAGAAGGTACTATATGAGTTAAGAATACATACTTGAATAGAATATTTTTTAAAACTAGAGTTTAGCATCACAGTTTAAACCACTTGCTATCTACCAAATATACAAAAACCTCCTGGCTGCAAGTGGATATAACAAGCTGGTGTCATTTTCTTCAGCCCCCTTGTGATAGCAAGAACATTAAATGAAAAAAAAAAAATGTAAATTAATGTAAAAGGCACCCCGCTCCCAATCAAACCCCCCAGCCATGCATCCAAATGTGCATGTATGTAAACAGCGACGGTTAAACACATCTGAGGTATTTCAGTGAATGCCAGAGTGAGATCAATAATTCCAAGGCCATCATTAACTTTATAATAACCTGTAAAGGCTTTTAAAGCGTCACCCATGAAAAGCTCTAGGCACCATATTTTGTTGCCATTTCATAGGCATATGCAATTTTGAGTCTTGACATGTTTGCTATCTAATTACTAACTGCAACATCATTTTTTTTTAATAAGTTTACCAAAAATTAGGTATTATATAGTGTTTGTGTTCAGTAAAATTCATTTTAGTGTATTTTTATCTGAAAATTTGCACTTGATAAACAGCTGTGCAAAAATCATGTGACATAAAAAAAATTGCCACTACCACTGTATTCTTCACAGCCTCTGCTCTCAGAAAATAAATAGTGTTTGGGGATTCTAAGTAATTTTATAGCAAAAAAATGTTGGGTTTTTAATGTGTGTGAAAAATCTTAAAAAAAAAATAACTGCCAGCAAGTCAGTCATTATGTTTTCTGAAATAACTTTATAATGAAATAGATTTATCCTGAAATAACTATGCATACAGTAGCTTTTGTAAGGAGCAAACTAGCTTGAATAGAGATGTTTTGTGAAAGAAAGGCAATCATACATGACTATGACTATGCTTTTAGATCTTTTTTTACTATATCCAATCTGAATAAGTTTGAAAGCACCAGGTTTACCACCAAGAAAAAAAAATAAATTTCTGAACGTTAGGATTTTGATAGCATTGCTTTCATCACTTAAACAATGGAAAACCATAAACAATAATATGGTACTTACAAAATGTTTAAAAAAAAAAAAAAAAAAAACACACACGACTCTTGACTACATGGTTTTTAAAAAAATGAAGGATTTAACACACTTACCACAGAAGAAAATATATACTTTTGATCCTTCTCTTGAAGAAGCAGCAATACATCGGTCAACAAAACGGCCAAGATATCTACACACCAAGAAGCAATTATAAAAACTGGGTTACAAATCAGAATCTTTTGCAGTATTGAATTTAGTACATAAATAAGTGTGGCTTTAACTTCACTAATTTCAAAAGAGACTTTGCTGGTAGTTTTATTAGGTATTTATAAAGTGGAGAACTTTAGACTGTTTAACATTAACAAACAGTAAAGTGGATTTTCAATGAAGTATAAGGCATATTCCACAGTTAAAAATAAATAAATATAAAACACGGATGACAAGGAGGCTGGGAGAATGCCATTATGTAAACACCCTTACTATGGGTCTAAAATGGAACATGCCATGGAAGGTGGAAGACAGGAAGAGTTCTGCATTACAATGCACATGAATTGCAGTTTAACCGCTTGCCGCCCTGCCACTGTGTATATACGTGTGCAGGGCGGCAGTGGAGCGCAAAAGCACGTTTTAAAACGTGCTCCGCGCTCCCGACACATTCGCGGGTAGGGGGGGCGCGCGCGCGCTCCCGCCGACCCGCGGGTGACACGATTTCAGCCAGTGATTTCTGGCTGAAATCACATGATCGGTCCCTGTCCTATCCTGTCCTGTGTTGACATTTACACAGGGCAGGATATGATGTCATTCTTCTCTGCCTGGGCACATTCCGTTCCAGACAGAGAAGAAGACATCCAAACAGTGAGTAAAACACTACACACTGACAGTTAGAACACTCTAGGTCACATTTAACCCCCTGATCCCCCCCCCCCCCAGTTAACCCCTTCACTGCCCTGTCACCAGTGTCACTGATCAGTGAAGCGATTTTTACTGATCAGTGTCGCTGGCGACTTCCGATAGTGTTAGCGCCCCTCCCAGATAGCGCCAGTTTGCCCGCCAGTACACCAGTAATCCCGTTTAACCCCTTGATCACCCCCCCAGTTAACCCCTTCACTGCCCTGTCACCAGTGTCACTGATCAGTGAACCAATTTTTACTGATCACTGTATCAGTGTCGCTGGCGACTTCCGATAGTGTTAGCGCCCCTCCCAGATAGCGCCATTGCCCGCTAGTACACCAGTAATCCCATTTAACCCCTTAATCTCCCCCCTCCCCAGTTAACCCCTTCACTGCCCTGTCACCAGTGTCACTGATCAGTGAACCGATTTTTACTGATCACTGTATCAGTGTCGCTGGCGACTTCCGATAGTGTTAGCGCCCCTCCCAGATAGCGCCAGATTGCCCGCTAATACACCAATAATCCCTTCTAACCCCTTGATCGCCCCCCCCCCCCCCCGAGTTGACCCCTTCACTGCCCTGTCACCAGTGTCATTGATCAGTGAACAGATTTTTACTGATCACTGTATCAGTGTTGCTGGCGACTTCCGATAGTGTTAGCGCCCCTCCCAGATAGCGCCAGTTTGCCCGCTAGTGCACCAGAAATCCCATTTAACCCCTTGATCGCCCCCCCCCCCCCCCCAGTTAACCCCTTCACTGCCCTGTCACCAGTGTCATTGATTACAGTGAACAGATTTTTTACTGATCACTGTATTAGTGTCACTGGTGACTTCCGATAGTGTTAGCGCCCCTCCTAGTGCACCAGAAATCCCATTTAACCCCTTGATTGCCCCCCTCCCCCCCCCCCCAGTTAACCCCTTCACTGCCCTGTCACCAGTGTCATTGATTACAGTGAACAGATTTTTACTGATCACTGTATTAGTGTCACTGGTGACTTCAGATAGTGTTAGCGCCCCTCCTAGATAGCGCCAGTTTGCCCGCTAATGCACGGGATTTTTTTTTTACCAAAAACATGTAGCAGAATACATTTTGGCTTAAATTTATGACTAACTTTGAGTTTACGATATATTTTTTATAGCTGAAAGTAGAAAATAATGTTTTTTTTTCAAAATTTGTGTTTTTTTTGTTTATAGCGCAAAAAATAAGAAGCGCACAGGTGATCAAATACCACCAAAAGAAAGCTCTATTTGTGTGAAAAAAAGGACGTAAATTTTGTTTGGGTACAGCATTGCATGACCGCGCAATTATCATTTGAATTAGTGCAGCGCCAAACAAAAAAAAAGGCCTGGTCATTAAGGGAGGTAAATCCTCTGGGGCTCAAGTGGTTAATATTGGCATAAAAAGAAAAAATAATGCCATCTTTTTGTTTTGTTTTTTTGGAGGGGGTGATGGACCCTGATCTAAACATTTTATAAATGCAATGAAATTAATACAGTTTGTGAATAACTTAAAACATTCCTTAATCTTGAAGTGGAGAATAAGGAAACACCCTTATTAAACTATTGTAAACACTTCAATAACAATTGTAAACCCATAATCGCAATCGCAAAAACTGATACAAACAAGGGCCCCTTTAACCACTTGCCGACCGCGCATAGCCGAAAGACGGCTTCACCGCGGCCGGCCAGTTCTGAGTGGACGTCATATGACGTCCTCCCAGAACGCGCTCTCCTGCGCGCCCCAGGGGGCGCGCACCCGGCGATCTCCGTGATCGCTGTGTCCTACGGACACAGCTGATCACGAGATGTGGTGAAAGGCCGATCCCACCGGCCTTTTACCACGTGATCAGCGGTGTCCAATGACACGCTGATCACAGGAAAATGCAAGTGCCGGTTCTCGGCTGCACTTTCCTCACGCTGTCAGATCGTGAGGAAAGTACTGCCGAGAACCGGCAGTTGTCAGAGCGGGGATCGGCACCGATCATCAGGGCACTGATGATCAGTGCCCTGATGATCGGTGCCCAGCAGTGACCCCCGCAAGTTCCGATCAGCGGTGCGCCCACTAGCCCCGCCCACCCATTCCCAGCAGTGCCCCCACCTGTGCCCAGCAGTGCCCCCACCTGTGTGCCACTCTGCAGTGCCACCTACCTGTGCCCAGCAGTGCCACCTACATGTGCCCAGCAGTGCCACCCACCTGTGCCCACCCACCTGTGCCCACCAGCGCCACCCACCTGTGCCCACCAGTGCCACCCACCTGTGCCCACCCACCAGTGCTGTCCACCAGTGCCACCCACCAGTGCTGCCAGTCAGTGCCACCAGTCAGTGCCCAGGGGTTGTGCCAGTCAGTGCCGCCAGTCAGTGCCCAGAAGTGATGCCAGTCAGTGCCATCTATCAGTACCCATCATCAGTGTCACCTATCAGTGCCGCCTATCAGTGCTGCATATCAGTGCCGCCTATCCGTGACCCCTAATTAGTGCTGTCTATCAGTGCCGCCTATCCGTGCCACCTCATTAGTACTGCCTATCAGTGCCCTTTAGTGCTGCCTATCAGTGCCCATCAGTGCCGCCTATCAGTGCCCATCAGTGCCGCCTCATCAACGCAAATCAGTGAAGGAGAAAAAATACCTGTTTGAAAAATTTTATAAAAGAAACAAATAAATTTTTTTTTTTTTTCAAATTTTTTGCACTTTTTTTAATTTATAGCGCAAAAAGTAAAGCGCCCAGTGGCGATTAAATACCACCAAAAGAAAGCTCTATTTGTGAGAAAAAAATGATCTAAATTTCATATGGGTACAATGTTGCATGACCGCGCAATTGTCAATCAAAGTGCGGCAGCGCTGAAAGCTGAAAATTGGCCTGGTAAGGAAGGGGGTATAAGTGCCTGTAGGCAAGGCAAGTGGTTAAAAATAGGTCACTAAATCTATTTTCCCCATATACCTTTCAATCTTCCTGAAGCAGTCTTCCAATAAAGCATGCCATCGTGAAGAAGTTGCCGGTTCTCCATGTTATGCTTCCTAAATGTCATCCCATTCTTTAATTTAACAGAGGATTTTGGCTCCATTTTGGCTATGATTTCAACCAATCGTTGACCTTTCTCACTCCTATGAACACGCAAGTCTATTTCTGTAATGGTTTCCTTTATGAGTGTAAGAGCCTGAGTCAACGCTTCATAGTCTTCTGTCCCTTCTAGGAAAAAAAATATAAAAAAAAAAAAAAAAAAAAAAAAAAAAAAAAAGGTACAAACTCTAAACAAGATATATTAAAGCTAAACAAATCCATTAAATGTTCTAAAGAAATTAAAATAAAAAAACACATTCTGGCAACGTTAAAGGAGAAGAGAAAAGAGCTTTGGCTGTACATCTGTGGATCACAGGAGTGCAGTTTGTTCTGCATTCCTGTGACCAGTTTTCAACTGACAGTGGGCTGAAGCCCACTGTTCGCTGAGGTCACTCATCTGGTCCGGTCTGGGGAAACATCACAACTTTAAAGTCGGGATGACCCTGCTGGGAGCCTGAGCCAGCTGCTCCCTCCCTCTTCACAACTAAGCGTTCCAATGGGGGGGGGGGGGGGGGGGGGGTTGGTGCAGACATCACTCTCTGCTCAAAGCGGTGAGAAGTCAGCGGTCATGTGATCGCTGAGTTCGCACTCTTAGAGCTGGTGGGGAACACATGCAGCATCGCACCGATGCTGCATCCACCTAGGGAAGTATAAAAAATAGAAACCCCATACTTCTCTTTTGAAGAAAATTGTAGCCGTAGGGTACTAAGAGCACTGCAAATACAAAGATGGTGCAGTACCAGTGATCGAGTTCTTTTTGACACTATGCAGTGGAGTGTGAAAATTACATTGCCCTCTCCCCACCAACCCATAACATTAAGCTTGTGGGAAGCACAGTGGCTTACTGGTTAGCACTTCTGCCTGGCAGTATTAGGGTTGCTGGTTTGAATCCCGACCACAGCATCACCTGCCTGGAGTTTCCATGTTCTCCCTGTGCCTGCGTGGGTTTCATCTGTGTACTCCGGTTTCCTCCCACACCCCAAAGACATGCTGGTAGGTTAATTGGATCCTGTCTAAATTGTCCCTAATATGTGTATGTATGACTGTAAGTTAGGGACCTTCGATTGTACGCCCCTTGGTTAGGGACAGATGTGAATGTACAATATATGTATGTAAAGCGATGTGTAAATTGACGGCGCTATATACAGTTAGGTCCATATAGATTTGGACGCAGGGACAATTTTACTTTTTTTCAGGTACTTGCCAAAACATATTTAAGCTATAGTTATATAATGGATATGGGTTGAAAGTGCACACTCTCGGGATTAATTTGAGGGTATATACATCCAAATTGGTGGAAGGGTTTAGGAATTACAGCTCTTAAAAGTAGCCCCCCCCCCCTTTTTTCAAGGGACCAATGAATATAATCATAGATAAAATGTTCATTTTTAATATTTTGATGAGAATTCTTTACTGGCAATGACTGCCTGAAGTCTGGAGCCCAAGGCCATTACCAAAGACTGGTTTTCCTCCTCTCCGATGCTTTGCCAGGCTCTAACTGCAGCTGCCTTCAGTTGTTCTGTCAGGGATCGCTGCAGCGAGCGGGTTTGCACATGCGCAGAACGCCGATACACTTTAACCGGCGGGCGCTAGGACCTAGGCAGCTACGGCGGCCACGCATGCGCACTCGCAATCGCAGATGCGCGCCTGGCACCAATGACAGTGCAGGGCGCACTATTTAAACCAGCCCTGCACAGACTCACATTGCCGTATGGTCTTATTATCTGTTCCTGCTTGTTTTGCCTGCTGATTGACCTTGTTGCCGACCCTGCTTGATCCTGATCTCTGCTGACCTTCTCCTGCTCTGATCCCTGGCTCGTTTGACTACTCTCCTGCATACTCCTGATTATCTGACCTCCTGCTGAACCTGGCGTGTGACCCGACTACTCTCTGTCTGCTGCTCTGTACCGTTCTGTCTCCGCTGTTACCGACCCGGGCCATCTGACTACGCTACACTACCCTGCCATCCATCCATCCTGCACGGATCCGGTCACTGCTGCCCAGGTATATCCGCCTCTTCACATCAGGCTCTCTCCCAGTACATACCTCTGGCGGTTCGCTCTACCACAGGCGGGTGCACTCAGGGGCCGTGACCTGGTCACAGTCTGCTCCAAGTCCATCCCCACCATCAGGGGCCCTGGTGAATAAGCAGACTGGGACTTAGACCCCGCGCCCTGGGGAATTCTGTCCTGTGGGTTGCTAGAGATACCGCCAGGCGGTACATGACATGTTCTTTGTTTGTGGGTCTTCCTGCCTTTGGTTTTGCCTTCAGCAAGTGAAATGCATGCTCAATTGGGTTGAGATCAGGTGATTGACTCGCCCATTGCAGAATATTCCACTTTTTTTCCTTCAAAAGCTCCTGGGTTGCTTTTGCAGTGTGTTTTGGATCATTGTCCATCTGTACTGTGAAGCGCCATCCAATCAACGTGGCTGCATTTGGGTAAATCTGGGCTGACAATATATCTCTAAACACTGCAGAATTCATCCGGCTGTTTCTGTCTTTTGTCACATCATCAGTAAACACCAATGACCCAGTGCCATTGGAAGCCGTGCATGCCCATGCCATCACACTGCCTCCACCATGTTTTACAGATGATGTTGTGTGCTTTGAGATCATGAGCTGTTCCAAGCCTTGTCCACACTTTTTCTTCCCGTCATTCTGGTACAGATTAATCTTAGTTTCATCTGACAAAAGCATGCTTTTCCAGAACTGGTCTGGCTTTTTAGATGTTTTTTTGGCAAAGTTTAATCTGGCTTTTGTATTCTCCAGGCTTATGAATGGCTTGCACCTTGTGGTGAACCCTATGTATTTGCTCTTGTGAAGTCTTCTCTTGATTGTAGACTTTGACAATGATACGCCCACTTCCTGTAGAGTGTCCTTCACTTGTCTGGATGTTGTGAATGGATTTTTCTTTACCATAGACAAGATTCTGCGATCATCTACCACTGTTGTCTTTCATGGACGTCCATGCCTTTTTATGTTGCTGAGCTCACCAGTGCATTCTTCTTTGCTCAGAATGTACCAAACTGTTGATTTGGCCATTCCTAATGTTGCTATCTCTCTGATCAATTTTAGTTTTTGAAGCGGGACAATGGCCTGCATCACTTGCATGGACAGCTCCTTTGAGCGCATGATGTAGGTTTACAGCAATAGATTACAAATGCAAATAACCACACTTAGAATCAACTTCAGACCTTTTATTACCTGCTTAAGAAATAACGAAGGAGTAGCCTACGCCTGGCCATGAAACAGCTTTTCATTCAATTGTCCAATTATTTTTGGCCCTTGAAAAAGGGGGGATGGCTACTCTTAAGAGCAGTAATTCCTAAACCCTTCTCCTCCAATTTGGATGTACATACCTCAAATTAAACCTGAGCGTGTGCACTTTCAGCCCATATCCATTATATAACTATAGCTTGAATATGTTTTGCTAAATACCTGAAAAAAAATAAAATTGTGCCTGTGTCCAAATATATATGGACCTAACTGTAAGTACCTGAAATAAATAAGCAGGCTTCAGAATTTTTATATGATATCAGAACATGGGCAGCAGTGAATGGCAGACACCCACTGGTGATCAGCTCAAATCTGCTTTGCTCCTAAGCTTCACAATGCACTGCAGAACCTTCAAAAGAGCACTGGATATCACTAATAAAAACTAGTTTCAACATTTTTACTTATCATGACAATGCAAGTTACATCATTATGACATTATCAGCATAACCTCCCGAATGTTATGGAGGAGATTTACTAAAGCTGGAGCACTCAGAATCCGACTGGCTACCATGCACAGCTACACCAGCTTCAGCTTGTTCACTTAAGCTTTGAAAAAACAAAACAAAACTGGAAGCGGATTGGTTTAGTAGATAACCCCCTATGGGTCTGGCATGCAGGGGACAAAGAGGAGACAATGATCCATTGCTAGTGAGATCAAGTGAATTAGTGATGTGCTACTGCAAAATGGGCCTGGGTGAGGTACCCCCACTTGAATCATGTTAACATGAAGAAACAAAAGGTGTGTGTGGCATTTCAAGTTGCATTTTAAAAGTAACACAATCATGCCATAAAAAGAATGTTGGCAACGTTATATCACTATGATTTTTTCCTCCACATAGTACAGTTACGGTCTTAGAATTATGTTAAAGGAAAACTCCACTTTTGTGAGAAAAAAGTAGCAAAGGAAAAAAAAAAAAACATATAGTGTATACAACTGCAATACAAGTCATATTGTAATTGAATGTTAGCAAAAATGACCTCTCCTTTTCCATTTTCGGCAATTCAATTTTCTGTAAAATAATAATAAACTGTATTTTATATAGAACCTTTAGAGGTAGTTTCTCAAAGCACTTTACAAAGAGAACACAAGGAACACTCAGGATAAAACAAAGGGAAAAAAAGGACAATTAAGTGAAAGCTCGTCTAAAGAAAAAACTTTTTAGATTTGATTTGAATGAGTTTAGAGAAGATGACTTTCTGATGTTCCTTGGAAGTGAATTCCAGAGTTTTGGAGCATAGCAATAGAAGGCTCTATCTCCCACCTACTGTAATTGAGTAGGGGGGGCACCCAGAAGGCCAAACCTGCAATGCATATGGTTACCTGGAGGCATTCTGTGCACAGATGGTAGACAGAACGCCCCCCCCCCAGAAATGTAATGTCCTGCGTGTGTGATCGGTTTTTATTGATTTTTTTTAAGAAGTGTGCTCTAAGATACAAGTCAAGAGTTTGGGCATCCCCTGTAACAAAAATTTTTATTTTTTGGTGAGATGCTTTCAAAGGGAAATTATGTCTAACGGGGTGCAAACCTTGCAACTTTCCTCATTAGAGCCCTGCAAATGCCTCAGCTGATAATTATAAAACTTCTCCCACAGAGATTCACTCTACACATGAACACAGACAAACCAGTAGATATTTCTTCAGAACAAAAAAGGTAAGAATCTGCATCAAAAGTTTGTTAAAATCCTTGCAATATTTATAGAATTCCCAGAGGGGAATGCTTTTATTTTCTCAACAAAAGTGGAATTCTTTACCTTGAGACAAACATGATCAGACAACTGAAAAGGTTCTTATTTTTAAACTTTCACAAATGTTTCTTCTTTTTTTTTTTTAATAAATAATAGGAATACACTGAGTATTTGTCCTACCTTCTGTGTTTTTAATTATCCTCTCCACAAGGACTGGATATTTTGTAATTCTCTGTGTAACCAAGAGTATACACTCAGGGACTCCCAGGCGCCTAACAATAGAGGAGTTGCCTATTTTCTGTTCAAAGAAACAAAGTATAAACTTAAATATCCTACAACACTTTATTCACAAACTAAAAAAATCCCAGCGCCAATCAAAGAAAGTATACAATTATGCAGCTGTGCACCAGTGAAAACCACCAATAATAAATAACAGAAAAAAAAAAAAACAGCGCAAAAAATAAATAAAAATAATCACAAATAAATAAATGTCTGTGCAAAAATATATATATAATATTTCAAACATAAGTCCTTATTTTCCCAAAAGGATTTTCAAAACAATGTTCCAAAATGTGCTTCCACCTAATCACCACGTGAAAAATAATATTGACCGCACTCACCAGATGGAGGTGAGTAATAAGCCTCATAGGATATAAGGGATCCTATAGCCCCTCAGGAGGAACAATGATCCGCAATTAAAACAATGAAACAAAATTCCTCATAAATATAAATACAAATCACCATATATTCCAATTATCTTTAATACTCTCTGGGAAATAATAAAAAAGAATAAAAATAAACATGTATTAAAAATTAAAAAAAAAAAAAAAATAAAAAATATAAAAAAATATATAAAATATATTTTATAGATTATTTTTTATATATTATATTTTTTCTTTTTTTCTTCTTTTTTTTTTTAATTTTTAATACATTTTTTTTTTATATTCTATCATTATTTCCCAGAGAGTATTAAAGATAAATTGGAATATATGGTGATTTGTATTTATATTTATGAGGAATTTTGTTTCATTGTTTTAATTGCGGATCATTGTCTTTATTTTTTGAAGGGTTCTCACGCTGAGTTTTGAAATAAGACCAGGGTGGGTTTTGTATGGTAATTATAATGGTTTAATGATCAGGTGTGGTAATGGGAGGTAGTTTCTATTAATTTGCATAGGAGATGGATGAGAGCTCTCCCTAAGGGGTATTACTGAAAATGTTTTGTTGGGGCGAAACGCGTTGACGCTCTTCCGGTCTTCTTTTGGCCTATGTCACTTCCGGTTTTGGAACGCACGCAGACTTTTGCGGTTCAAGCGGCCATTTTTGAGGTGGAAAGCTGGTCATCCTCTACAGTGATCCTTAAAGCGTGAGATCCCTATATTTACAATTTGGAAACTTGTTCCTTTGAAGCCTTTGAGGCTATTAAACAAGGCCTGTTATTTTATTGAAACATGTGAGTGTCCTTATTCTATGGATTTATATGGTATTGAGTGGCAGAAATTATGTAGCCTTTTTTTTGCACACTATTGAGGATTCCATGGAGAAGTAGAGTGGAGTCGATTGCTGTATATAAGCAGGGTGAAGGCGATTTGAGTTCCTCCTGAGGGGCTATAGGATCCCTTATATCCTATGAGGCTTATTACTCACCTCCATCTGGTGAGTGCGGTCAATATTATTTTTCACGTGGTGATTAGGTGGAAGCACATTTTGGAACATTGTTTTGAAAATCCTTTTGGGAAAATAAGGACTTATGTTTGAAATATATTATATATATATTTTTGCACAGACATTTATTTATTTGTGATTATTTATATTTAATTTTTTTGCGCTGGTTTTTTTTTTTTTTTTTTCCGTTATTTACAACATTTTATTGTCCACTTATACAAGAAGTAAAGGACAAGTGGTGAATAAAAGAATGACATAACGGTTCATTTACTGCTATTGTTATTTTGTATTCTGCGCTGTGGACAATTTGTTTTCATTTTGCACTCCATATACTTCCATTACGCTACTAAACAAGGAGTTTTGGACAACATAATAAAAATAATTAAAGTAGAACTATAGGCAAAATAGAAACTAATATTACATATAGTGTGATGCAGTCTGTCACTAGAATTAACACATCAGTTTTTGTCACAGTTTAATTACCTGTTGATCTGGACAGTGGATGTTAATTTTCCCACTTCCTGTAACAGTCCAAACTGTCTAGCTAAAGTGGCAGATACAGGGTTGGGAAAAATATGATTTTTGGTTAATCTTTAAAATCCTTTTCTTGGAGTACATTACAGGACACAGGTTATCTATTATAGGCGGTCAACAAACTAACAATTAAACAGTCCTAATGCATTTTTGATCCAGAGCTGACTCCAATCACTAATAGGTTTACATTTAAACTAGATCTTTGTGCACAAAACGTGGGAGCGTTAAACAGTAATCTGTACTCACCTTCATGAGGTTCTGAAACTTCTTATTCTCTCTCATCAGGAACTTGTAGTAACTAACTGCTCTGTTGTGCTGACTACAGAACACACCATATTTGTCCTCCATCCTTGCCCCAGTGTCACCTGAGAACTGAAGTTAACCAAAATTACAAACATTCAGTAATTGACTAAACAATTAATTGATGCCCATGTATAATATAATGATTAGGAAAAAAATGATTTTAGCCAGCCATACACGGATCAAAATTCGGCTGGTTTAGCAGAGACCAGACGAATTTCGATCCGAGTATGGGCTAGCTGATTGTACACATGGTGATCTACCGATCGATTTGTATACAAACAGCCGCTGGGTTTTTCCCCGAACAATCAGTGCTGCTGGAGATATATATATATATTTATTAAGAGAAATACTTTTAAATAAATAATTTTATCAAAAGAGGACTCAAGAGAGAGAAATAAATAATTTTGCCCTTGTACAAATCATTAGAAATGCCTTATCTGGAATATGCACTTTAATTTTGGGCACCTGTTCACAAAAAGGATGTCACAGAAACAGAGAAAGTGCAGAGAAAGGCAATCAACCTCGTAAGAGGCATTGAGTGAGCTCAGCAATGAGGAAAGATTATTGAACTGAATTTTTTCTCTCTTGGGGAGGAGGTTAAGGGGCGATATAATCAACATGTGTATATATACAAGTGGTCCATATAGTGAACTTGGGGTAGAGTTATTTACTTTCAGGTCATTTCAGAGGACAAGGGGGCACTCTTTACATCTGGAGGAAGAGAGATTTAACATTAACATACAGAAAGCCAAAATTGTGACCTATAGTGATGACTAAGTAGAAACAGTGTTAATTAAGTGGAAATAATTGTGAACTCGATCCCTACAGGGATACAACCATAAATACCGTTGCCAGTGATACCCAATATATGACACAAAAACCTATGCAATAATTAGATATACTACATATGGATATGTGAATCCCTAATGAGGGATAAAAACCACACACTGTGTTCAAAATAGTAAAAAACCTTAATTACAAACAAGTAAATATAATAATATACGTGAAAATTTACAACAAAGTCCAATTGTGAACAAAATGTCCAATATGTGAAAAAACACAATCAAGGTGCTTCACTACTTCTTGTCATGCAACATATGCAGTGTGGATGCACAGCACACCGATAAGTGATCCTTAAATGGCTGCAATGGCCTCTCACCTCCACTCGGCGACCCCAAAGGGCCACAGAGCCTTTTGAATCACCTCAGGATCCTCCCTGTATGTGCACTCTTTACTGCTTGGTCTCCTGGAAACTATAACCACACTGGACTCAAGAAGACTGAAGAAGTCACATGGAAGCGTGACGCAACGCATTGACGGCAAAGCATGGTGATGGGATACAGCACCCTTCTGCGGGCAAGCAGCGATCCAGCTCTTTTGGGTAGGGGGCGTGTGCACCCACCTCCCCGGATGTGCTCATATTTGCTCCACTACATGCCAAACACTAGGCCCCCGGCTCATGATCTATGGCTGGGACCAGCTGATCGCTGGAGCAAATGACAGGAGAGAGCCCTGTGTTGGTAAACACAGAGCTTTCTACAGACAGCAGTAATGTGCCAGCTTCTGTCTCCCTGAAAAGCAGGGAGATAAAAACTATGATTTTTGTGTATTAGGACAAGTACATTGTGAAGAAGATTGGGACCCTGATTTAGTCCCTTGGACAAGCCGTTTTTTTAAAAATATTTCCATACCCCTAAAAGTAATAACAGGGGTAGCTGATCCAAGGAATATCTGATTGCCTTATGGGGAATTTTTTTCCCCACTGGGGCAAATTGGATCATGCTTTACTGTGTTTTTTTTTTTGCCTTCCTCTGGATCAACTGTAGGTATAGGATTGTGTGTATGGAGGTTTTCTGTTTGTTTGTAAAACACAACTGTATAGGAAAAAAAACAAAGTACAGTTAGGTTCATATATATTTGGACACAGGCACAATTTTAGTTTTTTCAGGTATTTACCAAAACATATTCAAGGTATAGTTATATAATGGATGTGGGCTGAAAGTACACACTCTCAGGTTTAATTTGAGGGAATGTACATCCAAATTCTTCATCAGTTAAGCAAATAAAAGATCTGGAGTTGATTCTAAATGTGGCATTTGCATTTGGAATCTATTGCTGTGAACCTACATCATGCGTTCAAAGGAGCTATCCATGCAAGTGAAACAGGCCATTGTAAGGCTTCAAAAACAAAACAAATCCATCAGAGAGATGGCAGCAACATTAGGAGTGGCCAAATCAACTATTTGGTACATTCTGAGGACAGAAGAACGCACTGGTGAGCTTAGCAACATAAAAAGGCATGGACGTCCACGGAAGACAACAGTGGTGGATGATCACAGGGTCCTCGCTACAATAAAGAAAAACCCATTCACAACAACCAGACAAGTGAAGGACACTCTCCAGGAGATGGGTGTATCATTGTCAAAGTCTACAATCAAGAGAAGACTTCAAGAGAGCAAATCCAGAGTTCACAAGACGCAAACTTTTCATAAGCCTGAAGAATAGAAAAACCAGATTAGACTTTGCCAAAAAACATCTAAAAAAGCCAGACCAGTTCTGGAAAAGCATTCTTTGGATGGATGAAACTAAGATTAATCTGTACCAGAATGACGAGAAGAAAAAAGTGTGGAGAAGGCTTGGAACAGCTCATGATCCAAAGCACACAACTTCATCTGTAAAACATGGTGGAGGCAGTGTGATGGCATGGGCATGCATGGCTTGCAGTGGCACTGGGTCATTGGTGTTTATTGATGATGTGACAGAAGACAGGAGCAGTGTTTAGAGATATACTGTCAGCTCAGACTGAGCCAAATGCAGCAAAGTTGATTGGATGGTGCTTCACAGTACAGATGGACAATGATCCAAAACAAAATAGATATATATAAATGCAGCACTGAAAAGTATTAAAACATTAAAGGTAGTTGAACACTATTGTAGGTATGGCATCAAGAAATTAGTCCATAAGGTGCAACAAGGTGATAAATTCAATGTGAAGATAGTAGCTTCCGTGACTGTCGTGGCTGTGAAGAATAAGTGTAGAATGCACTAACCAGATAGCACAAATGATTGTGCGTTGGAGTATATAAGACCTACTCCACGGTGCTCAGGGAATGGGAACTCTGCATACGGATGAAGTCGTCAGGTAGGGATTAGCCACCAGGTGTCATCCATCCAGGACAGGTTACCACTCTCCATTAGTATGAGATCACATCTAACAGACCAGGTTAGCAGTATCCAGCAATACGGGTTTCAGCCACCAGGGGGATCATGCATTTAAGTATGGCTCCAATGCAAAACAAGCACCTTAAGGGAAGGGGCTCAGAAAAGCCAAAAAACGAGCCCAGCCCAAAAGAGAAAAAGCTCCCAATAGTGTAGTATTTTTGATATTCCAAGTGAAGTAACATCAAAAAATTCAATAAAAGGTAAACACTTACAATAGGAGAAATCCAATATGGCTGCCGTACATGAATAGGGCCATGCGGTGAGTGAGTAATAGTTGGGGGCAACTCCCTTACTCGCTCACCGCATGGCCCTATTCATGTACGGCAGCCATATTGGATTTCTCCTATTGTGTTTACCTTTTATTGAATTTTTTGATGTTACTTCACTTAGAATATTAAAAATACTACACTATTGGAGCTTTTTCCTCTGTTGGGCTCGTTTTTTGGCTTTTCTGAGCCCCCTTCCCTTAAGGTGCTTGTTTTGCATTGGAGCCATATTTAAATGCATGATCCCCCTGGTGGCTGAAACCCGTATTGCTGGATACTTCTAACCTGGTCTGTTAGATGTGATCTCATACTAATGGAGAGTGGTAACCTGTCCTGGATGGATGACACCTGGTGGCTAATCCATACCTGACGACTTCATCCGTATGCAGAGTTCCCATTCCCTGAGCACCGTGGAGTAGGTCTTATATACTCCAACGCACAATCATTTGTGCTATCTGGTTAGTGCATTATACATTTATTCTTCACAGCCACGACAGTCACAGAAGCTACTATCTTCACATTGAATTTATCACCATTGCCACTTGCACCTTATGGACTCATTTCTTGATGCCATACCTACAATAGTGTTCAACTACCTTTAATATGTTTTAATACTTTTCAGTGCTGCATTTATATATATCTATTTGGTTTCACATTGGAGGACTCTGAGGTTTGCCTCTTGATGCTGGCCGCTTTTTACTCTCATCACCCAGCGCTCATATATCAATATTATTAATGATCCAAAACACACCCATGATGCAAAAGCAACCCAGGAGCTTTTGAAGGAAAAGAAGTGGAATATTCTGCAATGGGCGAGTCAATCACCTGATCTCAACCCAATTGAGCATACATTTCACTTGCTGAAGGCAAAACTAAAGGCAGAAAGACCTGCAAACAAACAACAAACATCTAAAAAAGCCAAATCAGTTCTGGAAAAGCATTCTTTGAACGAATTAAACTAAGATTAAGTTGTACCAGAATGACAGGAAGAAAAAAGTGTGGGGAAGGTATGGAACAGCTCATTATCCAAAGTAAACAACATCATCTGTAAAACATGGTGGCGGCAGTGAGATGGCATGGGCATGCATGGCTTCTAGTAACACTGGGTCATTGGTGTTTATTGATGATGTGACAGAAGCAGCTGGATGAATTCTGCAGTGTTTAGAGATATACTGTCAGCCCAGATTCAGCCAAATGCAGCAAAACTTGATTGGACGGCGCTTCACAGGACAGATGGACAATGATCCAAAACACACTGGAAAAGCAACCCTGGAGCTTTTGAACAAAAATAAGTGGAATATTCTGCAAACGCCTGATCTCAATCCAATTGAGCATGCATTTCACTTGCTGAAAGCAGAACTAAAGGCAGAAAGACCCACAAACAAATAACAAACGAAGACAGCTGCAGTTAGAGTCTGGCAAAGCATCAGAAAGGAGGAAACCCAGTCTTTGGTAATGTCCATGGGTTCCAGACTTCAGGCAGTCATTGCCAGTAAAGGATTCTCAACAAAATATTAAAATGAACATTTTATTTAGGATTATATTCATTTGTACAATTACATTTGAGTCTCTGAAAATGGAGGGACTGTGTATAAAAATGGCTTCAGTTCCTAACATTTTTACTTGATATTTATGTTCAACCCCTTTAATTAAAGCTTAAAGTCTGCACTTCAAATTCATTTGGATTGCTTCGTTTTAAATTATTCTGGTGGCATACAGAGCAAAAAGTATGAAAATTGTGCCTGTGTCCAAATATATATGGACCTAACTGTATCTCAAAAATATATTCACATAATCTGAGTAGCCTCATAAAGGCAAATATGAAATGCTACCAAACTACTAAATATAGCAGTGAATGTGATGCATATGTTTTTCTAGGGAACAGTATTTTATGGAAGGCAAAAACAATAAAAAGGTGCTGAGAACCTATGCATTCTTATTCCACAATGAAGACTATCATGTTATAAACTTAACAACTGATCTGTGCGCACCAGGGATCAATGAATGATAATTCTTCTACCTGTTGTACAAGAATATCACCGATCTTCTGTATGAAGTAGTTCCGATCACTCCCCTCTTCTAAGGATTCTTTGCGCCTCTCTTTAAATCGAGTCAAGAACTGCCCGTGCAGCTCCAGAAGTTCATCCACACAGGGCAAGAGTTGGTTGATTTCTTTATTCCAGTGCAGTTCTTCTCTAAGTGCTCTACAATACACTTTCAACATGATTTTAAGTGTCCTGACATGGTGCATTTCTGTTTGCATTAGTTCTGAAAAACAGCAAAGTAAACAAAACTTTAAAAAAATCCACAATTAGCTGGAAATGCTTAACAACATAAACCATGTTGATTTAAGTGAGCAATTCAATTGGATACAAGATTGGATTTCTCACCATAAATTACATCCTGCCTCTTGATAACCTCTTTCTTCTGTTTTCTGGCAAATGGAGGTTCTACCGCACTGCTCCAAGACTCTGTCTCAAGCTCAACAGCATCAGCTTCTAACTCAGATCTAACAGAGGCATAAATCGCTTCTGAAAAATAAAACATATAGCAACTAACAGATTGTGAATTCTAACATGAGTGAAATTGTGCTAAGATGTAAAACTACAAATCTCTCCCACAATTTTCAGAAAGTTAAACAATACTGTTTTATATTCGTTTTACTTGAGGACCAAGTGAACTTACCTTTATATAAATTATCAATATTTCTTTGTGGGATGATGATATATTATATTATTTTGAACCTGCTGGAAAACTTCTTCCATAATTTAAAAAAAAAAATACTACCCATATTGGTTCAAATTTCTATTTGTGGAAGAAAAGGTTATTCAATAATGATAAACCCTTTAAACATACCATCCCACAAAAATTCAGTATCAAATGGAAAACCCACCCATGTATGGTTGGGAGCATAAAGCGGGATTTTGAATGAACCTCCTAGGCTAATTTTCAAAAACACAATAATTTATAAACAATAAAAACATAATTTTTGTATACATTAAAAACAATTCACGTCACTAAAACATATCAACCAGACTGCATATAAGATCAGTCTATAATCGTATTGATTTCTACAGCGATCAAAATCAACATGTTTCGAGAACGATATTCACTTCTTCAGAACAGATGCTGAGGTATGAGCTCATTCACATCATCCAATCTGAAGCTGTAAATACATATCTAAAAATCAAATCTATATATATCTTGCGAGCCAAATAGTATGTGGCAAATAGCCACCTTGTGGCACAGCTCGGGACAAAAAAATATATATATGTCCTTGATATTACTGGATCGCGAACACCCAACACATAACTACCACTGTGTACACAAATTATTTCATCATCTTGTGTTCGCTCCTTATTAAATTATAGTAACAAAGTGAATATTATATTTCATAATATTACCTGAACATAAATAATCATAAATTCATATATAGAATAATAACTTTATAAAAAGTATAATATTAATCCATATTCGTGATTAAATAATAAACAATGATTAATTGTGAATCATAATTTAGTGAAAAAATATAAAAATTACCGTGAATAAATACTCATAATAAATAAATTAATTTTTAGTGCAAAATCATAGTCCCATTAATCATAAAAAATATATATAAAGTGACTCTGTGTCCTAAAAATCTTGAATCCGTGACTGATTGTGAATCCGTGATAAAGATATTTGTGAATCCTCCAATTAGTGCAGATGTAAGCTCACCTCCTGATATGCCTGCAATTAGGCTATATACACTTTTGGTCCACCTCCTTTGGGACCTGCTTGTTAGAATTTTCTCCTCTTTAAATTGCGGAGCAGGAATATCCTTTAGAGCTGATTATCCTCTCTGGGGTTAATCACTCCTCACAGTGATACAGACCCCTATACTCTCCTCTCCATGCGTTTCTCCACATGCAGAAAACAAATGCCAGACATAGTGTTTTATCTTTTTAAAACACTGCTTTATTCCTTCAAGTAGTACACTCACATATAGTGAAGACGGTATGCGGCAATCCAAAATGTAGCGTGTCCTCAGCCGACCATTGAGTCATGCACCTGCGGTCCGTGTAGTATTCCGGCTCTCTCCGAGTGACGTTGCAGCCCCACCCCAGGGGGGGGTGGGGCTGCAACGTCACTCGGAGAGAGCCGGAATACTACACGGACGGCAGGTGCATGACTCAATGGTCGGCTGAGGACACGCTACATTTTGGATTGCCGCATACCGTCTTCACTATATGTGAGTGTACTACTTGAAGGAATAAAGCAGTGTTTTAAAAAGATAAAACACTATGTCTGGCATTTGTTTTCTGCATGTGGAGAAACGCATGGAGAGGAGAGTATAGGGGTCTGTATCACTGTGAGGAGTGATTAACCCCAGAGAGGATAATCAGCTCTAAAGGATATTCCTGCTCCGCAATTTAAAGAGGAGAAAATTCTAACAAGCAGGTCCCAAAGGAGGTGGACCAAAAGTGTATATAGCCTAATTGCAGGCATATCAGGAGGTGAGCTTACATCTGCACTAATTGGAGGATTCACAAATATCTTTATCACGGATTCACAATCAGTCACGGATTCAAGATTTTTAGGACACAGAGTCACTTTATATATATTTTTTATGATTAATGGGACTATGATTTTGCACTAAAAATTAATTTATTTATTATATGAGTATTTATTCACGGTAATTTTTATATTTTTTCACTAAATTATGATTCACAATTAATCATTGTTTATTATTTAATCACGAATATGGATTAAATATATACTTTTTATAAGTTATTATTCTATATATGAATTTATGATTATTTATGTTCAGGTAATATTATGAAATATAATATTCACTTTGTTACTATAATTTAATAAGGAGCGCAACACAAGATGATGAAACATATCTAAAAATACAACTAAAAACTCTTCTATCCATACCCCAGAAGGGGAATAAGATGTATTATATAGTTTTCATTCTCTATAAACAAGGGATAGACCAGCATCCTCAAAAATCTCCTCATTCCAATAGCTGCATATAAAATGATCTCCAGATACTGAAAAAGATGTATCAATAGAGTCCACACAATATACTGGCTGGATAAGTCAATAAGGGTTAAGGATAAGGGACAAGTCTCCCCTGCAGACAAAAAAAAAAAATCTCTCTGCTCAAAATGGCGGCTCCACAATCATGTATAGCAGCTACAAATAGCAAATAGTAAAGCATATCGCCAACATTGCCTTAGAATAACAAAAGCCATATAAGGCATATACAACTTTGTGCTTGTTTGGCCACAAAGTCAGCAGCAAGAAAAATTGCTGATATGGTCGTATCAATGCAAAGGGATAAAGTAATAACAGTGTATCCTGTACCAATATTCTTTTCCACCTGTTATCACATACAGGTGAAACTCAAAAGATTAGAATATGGTGCAAAAGTTCATTTATTTCAGTAATGCAACTTAAAAGGTGAAACTAATATATGAGATAGACTCATTGCATGCAAAGCAAGATAGTTCAAGCTGTGATTTGTCATAATTGTGATGATTATGGCTTACAGCTCATTAAAACCCCAAATCCACAATCTCAGAAAATTAGAATATTGTGAAAAGGTGCAATATTCTAGGCTCAAAGTGTCCCACTCTAATCAGCTAATTAAGCCATAACACCTGCAAAGGGTTCCTGAGCCTTTAAATGGTCCCTCAGTCTGGTTCAGTAGGAATCACAATCATGGGAAAGACTGCTGACCTGACAGTTGTGCAGAAAACCATCACTGACACCCTCCATAAGGAGGGAAAGCCTCAAAAAGGTAATTGCAAAAGAAGTTGGATATTCCCAAAGTGCTGTATCAAAGCACATAAATAGAAAAGTTATGTGGAAGGGAAAAGTGTGGAAGAAAAAAGGTGCACAAGAAGCAGGGATGACCGCAGCCTGGAGAGGATTGTCAGGAAAAGGCCATTCAATAGTGTTGGGGACTTTCACAAGGAGTGGACTGAGGCTGGAGTCAGTGCATCAAGAGCCACCACACACAGGCGGATCATGGACATGGGCTTCAAATGTTGTATTCCTCTTGTCAAGCCACTCCTGAACAACAAACAACATCAGAAGCGTCTTACCTGGGCTAAAAAAAAAACAGACCTGGTCTGTTGCTCAATGGTCCAAAGTCCTCTTTTCTGATGAGAGCAACTTTTGCATCTCATTTGGAAACCAAGGACCCAGAGTATGGAGGAAGAATTGAGAGGCGCACACACTGCAAGATGCTTGAAGTCCAGTGTGAAGTTTCCACAGTCTGCGTTGATTTGGGGAGTCATGTCATCTGCTGGTGTTGGTCCACTGTGCTTCATTAAGTCCAAGGTCAACGCAGCCGTCTACCAGGAGATTTTGAAGCACTTCATTCTTCCTTCCGCAGACGAGCTTTATGGGGATGCTGACTTCATTTTCCAGCAGGACTTGGCACCTGCCCAAACTGCCAAAAGCACCAAAACCTGGTTCAATGACTGTGCTTGATTGGCCAGCAAACTTGCCTGACCTGAAACCCATAGAGAATCTATGGGGCATTGCCAAGAGAAAGATGAGAGACATGAGACCGAACAATGCAGAAGAGCTGAAGGCCGCTATTGAAGCATCCTGGTCTTCCATAACACCTCAGCAGTGCCACAGGCTGATGGCTTCTATGCCATGCCGCATTGAAGCAGTAATTGCAGCAAAAGGGGCCCAAACCAAGTACTGAGTACATATGCATGCTTATACTTTTCAGAGGTCCTTGTTTTATTGATTGCATGTAATATTCTAATTTTCTGAGATTGTGGATTTGGGATTTTCATGAGCTGTAAGCCATAATCATCAGAATTATGACAAATCACAGCTTGAACTATCTTGCTTTGCATGCAATGAGTCTCTATCTCATATATTAGTTTCACCTTTTTACGTTGCATTACTGAAATAAATGAACTTTTGCACGATATTCTAATTTTTCGAGTTTCACCTGTATATATGTTGCTAGTGGTGACAAAGTTTAGATACTGCCTGCAGATACACTATACTATTTGCAATCTGTAGCTGCATTACATTATTAAGCTGGGCTGTTTGACAGGTGCATAAAAGTATGTCTGGTCATAAGTGGTTATCACATCACTGAAGTGTTCTATGCTTTGCTGCCATTTCACATTGCAAGATTATAACCTGGCATTGTCTGAGTGCACCCTCACTGGGTGCCCCTTCAGAAAAAGGTTCCATTGCTACCGAGCCAGCCTGACTGCTCTGAACGTCATGATGTTGAAGCTTGGCTTCAATCACTGACTATGTTCCTTGGATCGTTAGGGATTTGAACACTACTCCATATCCTGAGACACTTGCATCTGTTGCAATAAATTTCTAGAGATAGGGAAGGTAGAACTTCCCCACTGTTAGGCTTGTGTGGTCATCCAGCAAAATTTCTTGAATGGAACTGGGTTAATGGTACTGCTGTGAATGAGGCTACCATTAGGCCTAGAACTCCTGGAGAACCTCAATATGACATGTCGCTTGAATCTCAATTCTCGAGCCTGTGTTCTAAAGTCGGCCATACATGGATCAAAACTTTTCTGGTTCAGCTGGGAAGTCAGAACACAATAGCTCAGTGGGAAAGATCCCCGCCATCCACCTCAAATTTGTGGATGGGGAAATGAAGTCTTTTTTTGTTCATTTCGCTGGTTGAAAAGAAAAAAAAAAAAAAAAAAAAAACACTCCATGGGCTGCCTAAGCAAAAGAATGTTCTCTTATGGACACATCCCAAGATTTTTGCTGGGGATATGTCCAGGGCCAGACCCAAGTAACCCAGGTGAAGGGAAGGCTGAAGAGCAGATTTATTAACACTGATCCCCCAGTCAAAGGTTTGGAGCATATGCACTGTCTAATGGACATTTTCTGATAGTCAAAATCGACAAAAAACCTACAGATGGTCATCTAGACAGCGTGTTACTTTGATGCCCTGAATTCAGAGCAGGACAAGCAAGCAGAAGTCCTAAGACCTTTTGCGAACACTCTGGGAGCAAAGGATAGGCCAAAAACATAATGGCAAACTGGAAGTGGTTGTTTGCCAATGCGAAGCCTTGATGAGGTGGTTACATGTAGATAGGCATCTTGGATGTCCACATGTGTCATGTACTCCCCTGGTCTCAGAGAGGCAATTACTGATTCCATGCAAAATTTTGGAATTTAAAGGAACTTCTTGAAGATTTTTAAATTTTGAATAGGATGAATACTCCCGTTGGGCTTTGGTAACACGTTTGAGTAAAATCTTTTGAACCTGTCTTGTTGCAGTACTAGCTGGTACCTTGGACAAGAGGTGGTTCAGGACATTCCTCCAATCTTCCTCCAATACTGCCTCAACATTTTCTTCATTCTATTAGGTGTCTGTGTCCTCTATGACTGGCATATCGGTATCTAATTCTGTTTGATATATATATTTTTGTCTATTTAATTTGCTACATGTTGTCCACTGTGCAAAACGCCAGCCTTACCTGGAATCTGAATCTGGCACAAACATCAACGATTTTGGTGAAGAGGTCCAATGAAATTTTGAAAAAGGTCTATGAAATCATTTATGAATTCCCCTGATTAAGCTCTACATAATTTACCTTAAAAAAATTAATAAAAAGTAAGCAAAACTGTATTTTATGTGTACATAGGAACATGTGAAAACAGTCTCTGTGCCATGAGGTGTAAAATGGGTGCATATCTCTGACAGAACAAGAACATAATTTTTTAAACATTACCTTCCACAAAGAAAGACTCTGTACTTGATGGGGCCAAAGACAAACTGTCTTCTGTTAAGAACTTTAGTTTGCTAAAATTTGAGTCCAATTCATCCATATCTGCTGTGGTGGAACTAAAAAAATGAATGAACAAAAATTGGAAAAACATTCCTGCAGAGTGCAAACATGCAGTATGTGCACAATTAATAACGAAAGGTTTAAAGCAGAAATGGGCAAGGTTATCTTCAAATACACAGAGATTTTACAATATGCACTTAAAAAGCAAAATAGGACACAAAAGAATAACGAAGCCTCTCACTTAATGGTTATTAAAAAAAAAAAACTGAACTAAAGTAAGCAGTAGGTGTATTGGCTCATTTTCTTTAAATATACAGTACATGGCACTAACTTATCCTGGCAAAAAGAAGATAAGGCACCAAGCACCCATAGAAGCCAACAGAACACTCCTAAACAAAGATAATGGCTCTTTGTAGGGACCATGCTATTTGCTCTAGTCAGGCTGATGTTAATGTTTCAGTTTTTTTTTTTTTTTTTAAAAAAAGGTTCTAAACTGGCAAACATAACTCTCTCAGGATGGCCATACACTTTCAAGGGAGTTGGACATAACTGGGTGCTAGACATAACTGCACTCAACATATGCATAGTGCTCTGACTGATTTTCTGTCCGAAAGCTGCTGGATGGAGGGGGGTTGCCTATTGTAATAGGGATAACATCTGCCATTTAGTCTAGCTGTTTAAATAATGCCCTGCACAAGATAAGTCTGTATATTGTAATTGATTGAAGCAATGATCTAAGTTGGTAACCAAATTTATTTTAAATAATCACTCCATTTTCCAAAAATATTTTTAAGTTAAGTGATTATAAGATTATAAGAGAACTAATTTCACACTAGAAATATGTGGGTAGAGAAACGTTAAGGCAGAGGTGCTGAAAATAATACTATTTAAAGTTTGGGATAAATAATTTAATCTCCAAGAGTTTGAATCAAATATAGAAGCTCTAGACTTGGTTGAAATCAATAGCACACCAAATCTACCCACGTCTGCCGATTATTCTGATGATGACTGCACAGATGGTCAATGTACTGGATTCAACTCAGCACTGAGTGACAGAGATGTCGCACAGCCAAAATAGGTAGTGAGAGGAAATCCCTTCATAGTGAAAAAATCCGTCACCAGAACTAATATACTCATTGGAAGATTTCCCTTCTATTCTTGGTTTGGAGACAACCCAAAATTTTGGGATTTTTTTTTTACTTTCACTCTAGATAACGGTAAATAGGACAAACCGAGAAGGTGGATCTCACTAAAAGGGCCACAGATAGCAATAAAAACCTAACATGCGTTGTAATCCTTCTCTACTCTGTCCAAAACAAAACTTTGACTGGGCCATTCTAACACATGACTAAGCTTTCATCTAAACCATTCCATTGCAGCTCTGGCTGTATGTTTAGGGTTGTTGTCCTGCTGGAAGGTGAACCTCCACCCCAATCTCAAGTCTTTTGCAGACTCTAACAGGTTTTCTTCTAACAAACAAAAAACACAAAAGGGCGCTCTCTCCTCGTGCATTAACGTGGTTTACAAATGAATTTATTAAAAACGTAACAAATGGATACTCACAAAACAATTTTAAAAAACGAACATGCCCGGCCTGTCAGTTTAGGTGGATGGCCATGTCTTGGTAGGTTTTCATTTGTGCCAAAATCTTTCCATTTTCGGATGATGGATTGAACAGTGCTCCATGAGATGTTCAAAGCTTAGAATATTTTTTTTTATAACCTAACCCTGCTTTAAACGTCTCCACAACTTTATCCCTGACCTATCTGGTGTGTTCCTTGGCCGTCACTAAGCTGTTTGTTCATTAATGTTTTCTAACAAACCTCTGAGGGTTTCACAGGACAGCTGTATTTATATTGAGATTAAATTACACATAGGTGTAATCTATTTACTAATTAGGTGCCATCTGAAAAAAATTGGTTACACTAGATTTTAGTTAGGAGTATCAGAGTAAAGAGCGCTGAATACAAATGCACACCAAACTTTTCAGATATTTATTTGTAAAACATTTTGAAAACCATTTATCATTTTCCTTCCACTTCAAAAGTATGTGCCACTATGTGTTGGTCTATCACATAAAAACCCAATAAAATACATTTACGTTTTTGGGTGTTAGATGACAAAATGTGGAAAATTTCAAGGGGTATGAATACTTTTTCAGGGCACTGTATATAACATTGATTTTGTTTATTATACACTACAGATATGAGAGTATGGGGTCCTATATATGGAGGCTTTCTATTATCTTATTTTTTCTATTGGTTGAACTTGATGAATGTGTATCTTTTATACCCTGACTAATAATATAAGATTCTCTATACCCTTTTACAATTAATCCAAAAACAAGAAAGAAGGAGGTATATCAATATTTAAAGGTACCCCATCCTAAATTGATCAAATAAAAAAAAAAAAACCCTAAAAAAGGAAGACTACAGGACTTCGATGGTATCAAACTGACAACATTACATAAAATTACATTTACATCATTAGAAATATTAATATAAAAAACAAGTTAAAAACACAGTTACACATATATAAGCTTCACTGACATCAATTCACCCCAGAAACCCTGAACTGGTATTCAACTATATTAATGAATGAAATAATGGATTTGTATTTTGAATTAAAGTAGGTATCAAGGTATCGAAAATTCAAGTGTTTCTCGGGTCAATAACCGCTTTTTAGGAATAAATGGGGGACAGTAAGCTCCAAGTATATTTGTATCATATGCTATCAAAAATAGCAATAACCCAACATTTTATACAAATAACACAAAATATTCTCAGTGGTGATTATATCCAAATCATCCAGCCTATTAACTGCAGAGAAGGGGTAAGATACTCAATTTCACATAATATAGATTCTTAGATAAAGTATTGTACTAACATGTAAAACACATATATAGAACATAAAATCATTAATCTAGTTTAGCTGTAAAACATAAAGCTCAATTAAAGATATATACTATTTCAATGATTAAATAAGCATGACTTAACCACTAAGCCACCATGGTAAAGTGGATACACTGGCAGCTAATTATGCCTATTTATAGCTCCCTTTATTGACCTTGGCCCCTACTGCTCCTGAGGTTGTTCCTGTCAAAAATGCAGGAAAATTACGTCATAACGAATACAAAGGTCATGACATTCCGCTGCATAATATTGTGACATAATTTACACCCACAGAAGCCTCCCATAGATGCTCAGGAAAACTCCAGAGCATTAAGGGGAAGGAAAGCAGCCAACTCAAAGGGGACCTCCCCACCTAAAAATGGAATAGTACGTAAAAAAAAAAAAAAAAAACCAGGGAACCTTTGGAGAAGGCACTACAACACCAGAAAATGGAGACACGCTCTCCGGAACATCTTGTAACAAACATTTACATAAACAATATTCACAAACAGAGTAAGCATACAGATTTTACAGACTAAAAAAGTTTCTGTTGTATAATACTGTACAATGTCTTTTCAGTAGCAACTAATTATATTGAATGGGGCTGAGATTGAGCTCTGCAGTAGCTTTTGCAGCAATGGTTTTCTTATTCCAGGTTACAATTCTGCACACTGTCCTTTGTCTCTTCTGGTCAGCTGACCATGACAACCGTGTTTATGCTCATCAATGACATTTTACTAGAAACTGTATATGCCGCCATAACTTTTGATACGGTACCCTCGTGACACATCAAATAAATTGGCAACTTCATTCACGAAGGCACCAACTAAGCAGGCACCAACAATTTGCCCTCTTTGAAGCTCCGTAAGCTCTGCCATAACTTTGTATTACTAGCAGCATAAGCAGTGAAAGACGAAAGTGAGGCCTCCCACCTGTTAGCTAGGTGTCTTATCACACAGTGGAAGAAAAAGAGCGTTACATCACTTCCGTTTTCAATGTGAAACATATCACTTTCACACCTGCAAATCATGTACTGTTTCTATTTTTTGTCTAACCCCTGAGAGTCTATATATGACATTAAAGCCCAGGCAATACGGTCAACCAATAGTGACAGGTGGTACACCTATGTATGTGATCAGTTGTGAACTATTTGGTAATCTCAAAAAGAAAAATGTGTAGTTAATGTGTAGTCAATAGACATCTAATCAAAAAAGTAATCCACACCAAAGTACTGATGACCACTTTGCTACAGCTTTGTAAATGTGTGTACAGGAACTTATTTAGATATATACAACCCTGCTTACTATAAATAAAAGTGCAAACAAACTTGACGTTAGTGAAGGGAACCCAAACCTAATGCGCTAAAGATAAAAAATGTGAAACAAACGAATGCCCCCAAACGCATCTTAAAACCCTAACTTATTGCAACAGTGCCTACCAGACTCCAACATTATTTTCTTAGAGCTATTAAAGGTCCCTCTAACCTTTGATTTTGTTACTTATGCCACTCTATTAAAGTTGTTTTGTCGTATCATATATTACTCCTTTATATTATAATTTCCTATTCTTACACAACTCTGTAATGATCACATTAGCCACCCATGGGTGTTTTCCACCCAAATCTATGATGCAAATCACAGCATTGCAGACTACTGTCCCCTATTTATTCCTGAAAAGGATGTTACATTTTCGATACCTTTATACCTACTTTAACGAAATAATGGAATTATGCATTGTAAATTAATCAATATATTTGAATACATGTATCAGGGTATCTGGAGTGAAATAATGTATATGATGCTTATATATAGGTGGAACAGCATTTAATGTGTACTTTATATCATTTCTAAATATGTGACTAAATTGTAATTTTATATAATGTTATGAGCTAGTACATTAAAAAACCTGTAGTTTTTCTCTTTCTTAGGGTCATCAAATAAAGCTACTATATTATAAGGCGCTCTTCCATATCTTCTTTCCTTCTTTTTGTTACTCTCTTATTTTAAGTCCACTCTAACCAATGTATACATTTTAAATTAACTAAATTCAGTGCTTACCTGGTTCTGCTACCTGCCGTTGCGTGTATTTCCACTCTTGAATTTCCTCTATTGGTGACAGTCATTCCGAGCCCTCGTCCCTGCGCATGAGCCCCATCCAGTCCTACAATAGCAATACGATGAGGATCCTTCAATGAGGCTGCAAAAGAAGCAAACACTGAGTTGGAATAGGAGTGAACACCATCATGCTGAAAACTGCTGTTCGGTTTCTTTTGTAGTGCAGAAAAAATGCGAAATGTCAAAAGCTCATTTTTCAAAACAAAGTTCCTGCCCCATTTCTTTGGATAGGAGCTGTAGACAGAGATTCGAGAAGAGGAAAGCTGGCAACCACTGCCCTTCTCTCTTCTGAAGCTGGCATTCCCCATACTTTAGTTCAGTCAATGCTCAGCTCTGAATAATCTGCCAATGTCTCAGGATTTCTAGCTTTGAAAGTTTCCAACGATGATTTCAGAAACCCCTCCTGCTGCTTAACTAACCATTATTGACTAAGCTTCTCTGACTGGCAATCTAAGAGACAATTTCACATGGAGCTTCTTTAACAGCCAATTGTGGCCAAGGGATAAATTACTTTAGCACACCTCTGTAAGTGCTAACTGACAATCTGCTTTGTTGGCAACACATGTGTAGAGCTGATCTTCACAAAGAAAAAAAAGTCTCCCACACCAATTATATTATAATGAAATTTCAACATATGAGTCTGAGACAGAGGTAACAGAATTTTAAAATAATCATATTTGAAAACACAATCTAATTGTTAGAAGGTAAGTGAGCACTGCAATGGGTATATTATGTTGAACATGAGTAACAATCACTAATGGGATATAAAGGATGTATTCTAAACTGTGTACAGTAATTTTGAGTACAATAAAGCACCATCAAAGACAACCACCTCTACATCAAATAATATAGCACAGAAGGTTACAAAGATTTGACTTTATCTTGTTCAGAAAGTAGACAACCTACAATTACCAACCTGCAATGGTTAATAGCTTAGGCATCAGCTTGTGGGAATAAACCCATTAATTTAAAAAAAAGAGAGAGAGTGAGAGGGGGAGAGAGAGAGAGATTTATATTACAGCATGCTAGTCCTTAGATATGATGGATGCATGAGTTTTCTTTTTTAGGCTTTTTCCCTTTTTTGCCTGGTGATCCAACCAGTAAAAATGTTACTTTTCAGATTCCTTTAACAGACTTTCCAGCAAAAGTGACAGAGGATTGCGGCAAACCATTTAACGGCTCTGAGAGAGGACGTGCACGTCGGCCAGCCTCACCGCTGTTCCCCTCCAGACACCACGCGGTTCCAGCCGAGAGCTGACCTCCCCACATCGCTGTAAGATGATGGCTCTTCACCCGGGTTACCACCCCACCGTTAACTATTGTCAACCACGGTTTTTAAGCTTATGATTACTTCACACATGTGAGTTTTTCTACATTTAGACTTGAATAAAAAGACTTATTGCACTTAGAGGCGCTTCTCTCCTTTTCTCATCTACAATTGTTCATGTGTGGACTGCAGAGAGTGCTAGAATGTGAATTTCTGCCCAGGAGAGTATCAAATTTGTTTCTCTTAGGGCACCTGGACTTCTGGTGTCCTCCTGAGGATTTATGTAAGCCACTGATGTGGCACTGTCAGACTGCCCCGGTACTGGGTGACCTTGGGGGGTCCAGTATTGTAAAGTTAATTTGATGGTTCTCAGTTCTAGAATGTTAATGGGGAATTTTTACTCCTCTGAGGACCAGGTCCCCTGGACAGTTAGGTGGTTATAAGCTCCCTTCCCCTCCCCCAGCCTGTAACGCTGGCGTCTGCTGTCACCACTTTTCAGGGCATATGAAGAAATGACTTTCCCAACCCAACAGGACAATCCCGAGCACAGATCTGTTTGTTCCATCATGCAAGGATGTTGAGTTAAAGTAGCCTGGATGGAAACTGGGCAAAGCAAATGGCCTCGAAGGCGGCTACCATTAGGCCTTTTAGATCCAGGGGTACACATGTGGGACCTTAAAGGGGCAATTTCTTTCTGGTGAGAGGAAGATTCTAACTTGGACTGTGTCCAAGATTAGACAAAGGTATTAGAGAAGGTGTGAAAGACAGACTTTGGAAAATTAATTGACCAGCCGAAGGTTTGAAGGAACTGAATACGAGGATAGAGTGTGAGGTGGGGCGAGGCTGAGCCGCAGCTCTATCACACCAGTGCCACCATAAGCAAGCAGCTTGCTTTTGGGGGCATTGATCAAGGGAGAAGAGTCAAAAGCACCAGCAGGGGACCCGAGAAGAAGAGGATCGGGGCTGCTCTGTGCAAAACCATTGCACAGAGCACGTAAGTATGATATGTTTTTTAACTAATAGCATTTTAAGATCCCATGGAAGAACAGGGTGCTGTAAGAGTAGTATAAACTGAAAAACACCCTGAATAAGTTTTGTTTTCATTTTACAAGGGAAAATGAGGCCAGGGATTTTTGGAACAAAATGGACAAGGCTAAAACCTGTCCCTTAGGAGCACTTAAACTGTAATTCCAAACTCTAACTTAGCTTATAGCTGCTCCCACCCCCTTCTAACAGCAGCTTCAGTCAAAAATTCTGCACATATGGATAGAAATGAGGGCTATTCTGGGGATGTGTGTCATGATCTATTCTAGGGCATCAACACAAAAGAGTAAGGTGGAGGGGCAGTATCTGCAAATGCTCTACCAAGGTTTGGCCCTGGAAAACAGGATCCTGCCTGTTGTTCATTGTCCTAGTCCAGTTAGCTGCAGTCTGGCAAACAGAAATAGCAACAATAGCCATTTGCAGAGCTGGCACAGTGAGATGTTTATGACTGAGATGGCAGAGGATACTATAAGAACATACCACTTTTTAATGAATGCCTTTTCCATTGGATGGAGTTCAGTAATGATTCTCCAAGGGGAATCAGAGTTAACCCAATCATAATAAATTGGGCATCCTATTTGTTCATTAATGGTGAATATCTTTTTAGACTTACAAGTGTGACAATGTCAAGACTTTGCACACAGCAGAAGTGAGCATCTCTACATTGGTAAGTATACAGAGTGAAGCTGTAACCTGCGGGTGAGATATCTTCCAGTCTCCTGTAACACCATGTCTGGGTCCTCCATATAACCTTCAATGTCTGTGCCCACTACAAAAGGCATTTCACTTTCTGGCTTCAACACCAGAGAAATATCTAATCTCTAAAAACCTGGCTTAGACTCTATTCCACAGTTTCCTGTTACAAAATGCAAATAATCAAAAAGACTAAATTATGGGAACAGTCCAGCACTAGCATATGGGATGTCTGGGGTGTGGATGCTGCTACCTTTGAGGGGTGCCAGAGTGGGGACTACAGCTGGGATTTTTTTCTTTGTGTTTTCTTTTGAGCCAGAGAATGCCCCAAGGCTGTTTTGTAGAGTATTTTTCTAAAACCAAAAAAACCCCTAAATTTTGAAAAAAAAAAGAAAAGCTGAACTCTAGGAAATAAACAAAATCCTACCCTTGCAGTTGCGACCAACCAATCGCATCAGTAAAAGGAGCCTGCCAGAGCCAAGACTAAAGTAAGTGGCACACCTTATATCTGAACATCTAGACTAAACAAGCCTTCAACCCTTACACTGCAGGGTGTGGGGCTTCACTGCAAAGGTATATTCTGTCTAATTCCCTAAGTTTAGCAGTAGTAAACTGCAGACAAAAAAAAAAAAAAAAAGAAAACCCCTGCAAGGTAAAGGCATAATGTTCTAGTATGCGCTGCATACTATCACAGTATGTAAAACTTAGGGTGTGAATTACTAAAGCACTCCAGTGGCGCGCTGTCACTGCTGTAGATGCTTCCATCTTCACCCAGTCCTCCTTCCGGGTTCGCAAGCTCCAGCCATCTGGCCGGCTAAGCCGCAATGACATCACTTCAACAACCTTAAAGGAGCTTTTCCTCACCTACAAAAAAGCTGGTCTCTTACAGAGAAAATCCCACTGCACAGGACTGTAACCCAATTTTCTCCCACATTCTTGATGAAAATGGCTAGATCCTTAGGGACAAATTTATAAAGCAGTGAATAAGGCTTTCATTGATGACTGTCATTTAGGAGATGCACCAGGAAGATTAACCTGTAGTGAATTTTGGTGAATGTTAGATTTACCACTTTATAAATATGCTCCTTAATGTGAACTCCATTCTGAAGAGCATTACGTTGATTGTAGGTCACCCATATAATTTTAGAATATGCATTTTTCGGTCTACTGTTACTGTAACAATCATATACGTAGTAAAAGAAATAACCTTACCTTGCTGATAAAATGAAGATACATGGGAAGACACTGCAGGCTTGTAAAATGTATCCCTCTAAAAAGAAACACAATATTTAAAAATTTCAAACAAGATATTTCAAACATTGAACTCAATTTTGGATTTTGGAACGGATTTTGGTTAATTTTCATTTTTTTGTTATTCTGAATACTAACATGCTTGTTGTCATTTTTACATTCATGCTAATTTCATGACTACTTCACAACAGTATACTAAAAAGACAGGAAGTAAAAAATGTGGGCTTGCCTTAGTGCAAGGATGAATTAACTCCCATACGCATGCCAATCAAGATGGCCGAAAACACTAGAGATTTTGGTGACAATGAAGGCATTGCATCAACTGAAGGAAGGTAGGTAATGCGTACATTAGCTCAGCTTTATCAGAAACACTGTTAGGGATATATGGGTACGTGGGTGCAATACTTATATATATATATATGGATAGGAATCACAGAAATTGCATTACAGTGGTTGTAAAGGCAGGTCATTTTTTTACTCCAATGGATTACCTTAAAGTGATACTAAAGTCGTGTTTAAAAAAAATAAAACTAAATAACAAACATGTCATACTTACCTGCTCTGCGCAGTGGTTTTCCACAGAACAGCCTGGATCCTCCTCTTCTCGGGTCCTCTGCCGGTGCTCCTGGCCCCTTACTCCTGTCAGATGCCCCAAAGCAAGCAGCTTGCTATCAAGACACCTGAGCAGGCGTGCTCCTGAGCCGCGGCTCTGCATATCCACTCACACACAGAGCCAAGGCTTGGCCCCGTCCTCTTTCTCTTGATTGGCTCACTGGCTGTGAATGACAGGACAGCAGTTGGAGCCAGTGGCTCCCGCTGCTGCCTCAGCCAATCAGAAGTGAGAGTCCATGGAGAATGGAGAATGTCATATGGTCAGATAAAACCAAAATAAAACTGTTTGGTAGAAACACAACTTGTCGTGTTTGGAGGAGAGAGAATGCCGAGTTGCATCCAAAGAACACCATACCTACTGTGAAGCATGGGGGTGGCAACATCATGCTTTGGAACTGTTTCTCCGCAAAGGGACCAGGATGACTGATCCATGTACAGGACAGAATGAATGGGGCCATGTATCGTGAGATTTGGAGTGCAAACCTCCTTCCATCAGCAAGGGCACTGAAGATGAAACGTGGCTGGGTCTTCCAACATGACAATGATCCCAAACATATCGCTCAGGCAACAAAGGAGTGGCTTCGTAAGAAGCATTTCAAGGTCCTGGAGTGGCCTAGCCAGTCTCCAGATCTCCACCCCATAGAAAACCTTTGGCGGGAGTTGAAAGTCCGTGTTGCCCAGCAACAGCCCCAAAACATCACTGCTCTAAAGGAGATCTGCATGGAGGAATGGACCAACATACCAGCAACAGTGTGTGTCAACCTTGTGCAGACTTACAGGAAACGTTTGACCTCTGTCATTGCCAACAAAGGATATATAACAAAGTATTGAGATGAACTTTTGATATTGACCAAATACTTATTTTCCACCATAATTTGCAAATAAATTCTTTCCAAATCAGCCAATGTGATTGTCTGGATTTTTTTTCCCATTTTGTCTCTCATAGTTGAGGTCTACCTATGATGCCAATTACAGGCCTCTCTCATCTTTTTAAGTGGGAGAACTTGCACAATTGGTGGCTGACTAAATACTTTTTTGCCCCACTAAGTGCATGGGTAGATTCAAGGAAAGAGTCTGCTTTTTCTATATTGATAAAAAATGTTTGATTGCTGAGTTCTTGATTGGAACTGGAAGACAGGTACTACCTTGAAGGAGACTCATATTACACCCAGTCTCAAGGCAAATCTCACTGTGGGATTTCTTCATGAGCTCTTAGAGAAAGAACTCTCTTTTCTGTAAGAAAGACTTTGGTTTGGGATGTATGCAGGATTGTATCCAAGTATTCCATGCAAAAGAGAATAATGATGGGCAGATATATTGAAGGTGATCATCCAGCCAAATGCCTGGAACAGCTTAACTGTTTGCTTGGACATTTGCTGAGAGTAGGAAGAGAGATTTATCCATCCAGGCCAAGCAAGCAAGGGTGCTAAGACCTTTGTGAACACCATGGGAGCAAAAGATATGCTGCATACCAAACTGACAATGGTCGTCTGTCACTGCAAAAAACAGAAATCACTGAGGCAGGTAAATGGGGACATGCAGGTAGGCATCTTGGAATGTCACGTGCCCTGGTCTCAGAGAAACAAATTAAAGACTTTGTAGATTCCATGGGAAATTTTGGAATCTGAAGACATTTGTTGAGGGATTTTAAGTCAAGGATAAGACAAATATCCCCCGTTGCACTTTGATACTGCGAACAGGTTTGAGTACAATCCTTGATCCTGTCCTGGGTAATGGTACAATGACTGCCTGGGGCAAGGAGTGTTTCAAGGCATTCTGCAAATCTGAATGTCTTTGGACAGCTTTTGACTGATTTGAAAGAAGAAAGCAGTGAGGAGGTAGAATTTTGAGTTTAATCCAAAGTGACTTTAGGGTAGGCTAGGGGTTAAACATCTTTTACAAGCAGCTTCTGCTGTCCAAGATTAAAACATAAAATTCTGCACGTATGAACGGAGTTTAGAGCCTTTCTGTATATTTGTCTCTTAACACGTCAAAGGGCATCTACACAAAAAAGAAGAGCAGAAGGCAAATGTAGTAGTTGCCAATCAGCAGCACAATCCTTATATATAGGGTCATGTCAGTCCTTCATTGTCCTAGTCCAGTTATCTACCTGGCAGGTTAAAGTTATCTCTCTGGGCCTGCCAGGTTAAAGAGAGCTTTAAAAAGCAGTTGGCTGTATTAAAGGCTAAGTTCACCTTTTGCAGCATGTTACAAGGTATGCCCATAGTTACGATTTAAAGTGTACCAAGCTTGAGACCTGTCCCACAGCACCTCTGATTCATTTTGGTATCCCCCGAATATATACAGTATGTTGTTCATCTGTCACATGTACAGTACAAGAACAAAGCCTGTGCTGCCGTCATGCATATACTATTTTGGTGCCTGAATTCAAAGGCTAACTATTCAGAAATGTTATTTTAAAGTCTAAACTAATCTAAACCGAAGGTCAAATACGTAATATATTGCAGCTTCGTTTTAGTGGCTGCATTCGTTTTTATTTTTGTTTTTAGAGGTTTTTTTTTTTTATCCCTTTACTTTGTCTTGGTGATTGAGCTAAACATCCCTTGACCTAAGGCAACAAGGCTCACTCACAATATAGCATCTATGGAAGGTCAGTGTTGTCAGCCTGGGACAGGGCGTCTCCCTCAAGTCCATATCACGGGGAGTTGCTTGGGGATAACAATGAAGAATGTAAAATAATGCATGCGCTCACTGGATTTCTTGGAGGACCAACAGGTATTTCTTTGAAAATTCCCAACATAAATAACAAAATGGTATATATAAACAGACCAAAAGAGAGCAAATAAGAGAAGTTCATTGTTAGGGTTTACGTTAATTTTTAGCATAGTAGGGTTGACAAATTTGGAAAGAACCCTGTCTCTCAGCACTCTGCTTCAACAGCCATGACATTAAAGCCACTGTTGAAGACCCTACCAGATCTCAATACAAATGCAAATCACTTATAGCTCGAGCAGACTGATTGCAAGTTCAGACACTGACCAATGATCCTGCATTGAACGGGTGCCCAGAATTCTGCCCTAACAGCAAAGGCTTGAGTCCATCATACCAATCTTTCAAGTAAGGGAAAGAAAAGACCTGCAGATAGCTTTGGAAAGGTTTATCCAACACAGCAGGACAGCTACATTTTTCATTGAGAAGTTTTGAACCACCTGGATATGATTTTTCCATTTGCAAAAGCAACTTATGGAAGCAGGCAACCACCTTGAGCAGATAGATCATCAGCCCAGGGTCTCCTCATACAGCTGTGCAAAGAAGACCGGTTTGTGCCCAAAATATTTAAGTTTGCAACACAAATAGTTTTTTCTGAAGAAACCTCTCATCTGGCAAATGTACAGATAGGCATTTTCAATGTCTATGGAAGCCAGAAAGTCTGCAAGTCTGCCCAGCAAAAGAAGGTAACCACTGAGCGAAGAGGTTCAATCTAAAACTTTTGAAATTGCACAAAGGGATTGAGAATCTTAAGGTCCACGATTGTATGAATCCCTCCTTCCTTGCGAACCATGAAAAGTTGTTGGAGAAGAAAACCTTGAAATACTCCAGAGGGGGAAACAAATAACCCTTAAAACAGTAGACCTTCCCCATTTTTGCATCATGCAGTTTTAGTAAAAAACCCCCTTGCAGTATTTCATGGCAAATGAAATTAAGTAGTCAGAAAATACCATAAAAGGGTTCCTAACGTAAGGTCCCGCATTAAACAGAAACCATCTGGGACCCCAGGGGCCAAATTCAAATGGGCAAACCTGGCAAGAAATACATAGTTGCCTTGTTAATGTAAAAAATGGGTCGATCCACTGCTAAGGCTGTGGACCAGCTGTGGTGGAAGGGTGTGGCGGCAGAGTCACTTTCACCAAAATGGTAGCATAAGCCAAGACCAGACAGTCGGAAAAAAGGGCTCTAGCATTACTAAAATTATAACTGCCAAAATCACTTAAGAAAACCTGGGACCAGTAGACAAGTGACCCCAAATCCCACTCACCTAGTCTGACAAGTCTTCAGAGGAGTCATGGGAGACTTAATCTATATGCTTTGAGACCTGGAAAGGGCAGCTGCGGTAAATAGACATACTTTGTGTCACTGTGCAGTTATGTCATTGCACAGACACTACTATACAGGGCTGTTGAAGAGAAAAACAGATAGTCACTCAATGAGCTCAGGTCCTCTCAATTAGTGATTTGGAGAGTCTAGCCAAGATTCCAGTTATCTGGCCTGAATCGACCACCAGCTGCTTGATCAAATAAATTTACTTGTGAAGTCTTGATCCAGTGGAGCTAGAGAGAGATGTCCTACCTCCTTAGGACACTAAGCCTTACTGACGTGGAATAGCAGATAGTGGTAATGGCTACTATTTGTTATAAACGAATGTTCATCTCATCCAGGAGGCAGAAGTATAACCCATGTGTATTGAATATCATGTGGACAATTTATTTATTTTTTGTTTTTTTTTCAGTAAAATGGAGAATGGTTAGATAATAACCTCTATCAAGTTATCATTACTGCCTGTGTCTTTCAGCCACAGTGATAACGGATTCCATCTTTTATCATCCTACTGTCAGAGGAGGTTTGGTTGCATCTTGCTGACTATTCTTCCCAAGTCTATTCAAAGCCCAAAAAAAAAAAAGTTTTGACTGGAGTTGGGCTTTAAATACCAATACGGAATAGACTACTAAATTTCAAAAGTCAAAAGGCCACATGCCATGACCTATGAATATGGTGATGTGACTGGCCTTTACAAGATCCCAACGGTTTTAAGCCAAGCTACGTATCCAGCGGATTCTACCACCAAAGTAACATTAGTAGCTCCTGTTACTGTTAAGCTTGCTGTTCACACTTTTATACAAGCCAAAGCCAGCGTGAAACAGGCCTAAATGTATCACCACCAAATACAGACAGAAGATAATAAGCAAGGATCGAAATAATAATTTACCTTTGACTTGCTACTGGTACACTCAGGAAGTAATGTCTTGCAGTTTTTATGAACATTTACAGCACAGTCTGAAATAAATATTTAAAAAAACAAATTTATTTTCTTGTGCAATTACGTAAAAAAATTCTAAATGTAGAGAATCTATGGATTTAGTATTAGAAAGGATACTGAATAAAAGCATGTAAACATGCGATGCTGTGACCAAACAGAAATGTGCACTATAAGAAGAAAAAGCTTGACCTAAGTATCAAACATGCAAGAAATATTGTTATTCTTTGATGAAAATATATTGTATATGAAATTGATTTGCCTATAATTGAAAACCAAAACAGAGGCTTATGAGTTAAATGTATGACTTTTCTTGTCACGGACAGCACTCATTCAAAATCCTTAATTTTCAACACTCCAGCAGAATTGACAGTTAGAAACTTGTATAATATGAGCAACACGTAAATGTCCTTGTTGGAAATCATTCCATGCCCAAAGCAAAACTTAACTACTTGCACTCCTGAGGATTTACCCCCCTTAATGACCAGACCTCTTTTTGCTACTGGGCGCTGCACTAATTTAACTGATAATTGCGCAGTCATGCAATGCTGCACCCAAACGAAATTTACGTCCTTTTTTTCACACAAATAGAGCTTTCTTTCGGTGGTATTTGATCACCTGTGCGCTTTTTATTTTTCACGCTATAAACAAAAATAGACAGAAAATTTTGAAGAAAAATATTTTTTTACTTTCAGCTATAAAAAATATATAGTAAACTCAAAGTTGGTTATAAATTTAGGCCAAAATGCAAAATGTATTCTGCTACATGTTTTTAGTAATTAAAATCCCAATAAGTGTATATTGATTGCTTTGTGTGAAAGTTATAGCATTTACAAAACTATGGTATAGATACTGCAATTTACGCCATTTTTGTGCTATACAGCACTGCGCTAGTTTAATGGACAATTGCACGGTCATGCAATACGGTACATAAATGACACACAAATAGAGATTTCTTTTGGTGGTATTTGATCACCTGTGCAATTTTTATTGTATCATCCTGGTATAACCATTCACAGTCCAGTGATGTACCAGTACATCGCTGGTCGTTGTTGGGTGTATATGCTATGTTTTTTTTTTTTTTTGTATGCATCCTGTAGGCTGAATTAAAAAAAGAGAAAAAATCTCTGCCAGAAAAAGTGTGTGGTATGCCCACCATTAGAATATACCGCCCTGCATCCACCCACTTCTAATGGTGGACACACATTAGGTCACACTTTGCCACATGCACCAGTTCCAAGATTGTACAAATGTCTAAATAGTGGCACGCTTGAATAAAAATTGTCCACGTATAAGTAGTACCCCATATGGAAAAAGGGTGACACCAAGTCCCAAACTATCTTGGCACTGCTCCCCATGTAGTCTGGGCATCCGGGGGGCTCCACGTGACTATCTATTCCCTCGTAAATCTGAAACTTATAAGTATAGCCTGTTGTCCTCTCACAGGTCTTATACATCTTGACCCCATATCTGGCACGCTTGCTAGGGAGAAATTGTTTGAATGCAAGATGGCCAGAAAAATTAATCAGGGACTCATCAACGCAGATTTTGCTGGGGAGTATAGACATCTGCAAAGGTGATTTGCGAGGGGCTGAATTTTGTGGAGCCGGTCAAATTCAGGTTCACCTCGAGGACGAGTGTATTGTCGTTGAAATGCATAAAACACATTATACTCTCATATCTATGCCTGGCCATGGCAACAGAGAACATGGGATAAGATGAATCGGGTCTGCGGACCAATACAACCACAATTCATTTCTTTTAGTAATGCCCATGTTGAGGGTTAGGCCCAAAAAAAATGTAAATTCGGAAACCGTAATGAGTTTCCATGCGAATGGTCTGGCAAGGTTTGAATTTGGGTTGGTGGCGATAAATTGTTGTGCATATAAACTGCTTTGATCCACAATCAACGCATACAGATATTCCGTGAAAAACAGCTCCAAAAATCAAGGAGGTATGTGAAAGACCAGGATGTACTAGAGGGCTGGTACTCGCCAGTTCACCAAAAGGTAGAGCGGCACTAGTAATGGCACTCTGCTGCATATGATCATCAAAATTTACCGGCAAGCGCTAACAGAGATCAGGCCTGATTCTGCGAACACTGCGGTTTTGTGTGCAATGTATCAAGTGACAGTGACCTACTCACACTGCACTTGCTGGGGGAGAAGGGGGGGGGTAAGCGTAGGGGCTAAACGCAGGTGCAGGCAGGTGCCGAGGGTGATCCCGCTAACGCTGCATTTTTGGGTACGCTATACTAATGTTAACGCTGGTATAATGCTGATCTGATCCAAGATATTGATCCGTTCAGACACTATACTAGCAATGGAGGTTTATTGTGCATGATCCTGGCAATCAAGGGGTTAAATGTGATGGCAATCTGACGCTATTTGGGAGGGGCGTGAAAACCACGGAAGCGCAAATCATGTATGTATATGTATATGTGTGTGTGTGTGTGTGTGTGTGTGTGATTTTGCACACCCAGTACACCCTGTAGCAGTATTTCTGCTGTAGGGCGGTCAGGAAGCAGTAACAGAAGCGGTTTGTGTTATGTTGCTGCGTTACTTTAACTGACAATTGCGCGGTCATGCAACACTGCACCCAAATTAAATTTACATCCTTTTTTCCCACAAATTGAGCTTTCTTTCGGTGGTATTTGATCGCCTGTGCGTTTTTTTTTATTTTTTGCGCTATAAAAAAAAAAAAAAGGCTGACAATTTTGAGAAAAAAAACAATAATTTGGACTTTTTGCTATAAAACATGTCCCGTAATAAAAAAAATTTTTAAATCAAATTTCGTCATAAATTTCAGCCAAAACGTATTCTGCGACGTCTTTGCTAAAAAAAAATCCCAATACGTGCAAATTAATTGGTTTACAAGTTATAGCGTCTACAAATGGCGGGAAAGATACTGGGATTTTTTTTTATACGAATAATGGTGGCGATCAGCGACTTATGGCGGCGATCAACGATTTATGACAGTGATCAGCGACTTATGGCGGGACTGCGGTGGACATTGACACTGGGGGGGGGGGGGCTGACTTGGAGTCACTGACATCCCCAGTGACACCAATACAGTGATCAGTGCAAAAGAAAACACTGACACTGTACTAATGGCACTAGGGAGGAAGGGGTTAACTTTTTTTAGGCAATGAAAGGGTTAACTGTGTCAGGGTAGTGTTTTACTAGGGGGCGGGGGGTGTACTTCACAGGAACAAGCTGATCCTGAGAGAGATAAACTCCTCTCTCAGGATCAGTGTGCTAGGAGCTGACAGGGAGCAGAGCTGCATTGTAAACAATGCAGCTGTGCTCAGTGTCACTGTTTGTCGGCAATCGCTGAAACCCGGCGGGTAATGACTGGCCCGGGACCCAGTGATTGACACCCGCTGCCGCGATCGGCGGGACGGGTAGGGCAGGCACATGCCTCGCGCGCGTGCCCTACCTGTTTTAAACTTGCACTGCCTGTTACCACACCACCCACCCTTCAAAACATTTACCTTTACATTTATTGATCCAGTACTGTGCCCAGCTGCAAGTCTTCTCTCTCCTCTGCCTGGTCTCACAGACCTTGCTGATATCATTTTAATGCAAAATTAAACCCAAAATAAAAAAAGAACATATTGCAGATAAACAATCCTTGCATGAGGTGGCTGCATTAGTTTTCTCCTTTATTTTAACCAGGTGATACAGCCAGTAACTAACTTCCTGTCTTAAAGAGGTTCTAAAGGCAAGATATTCATAATCCTTTCCTTAAAGGCGGAGCTCTACCCAAAATGGGACGTTCTGCTTTAAGGACTAGTCCCTCGCTCCCCATGAGGAATTTGCACCTTTGGAGAACAAGTACCAGATTGACAGATACCCGCTCCCACTTCCGCTATGACCGCCTAAGCGATCGGAAGCGGAAGTTGTCACCCTCGCTGTAGTCTTCTGGGACACGTGACAGGACCCAGAAGACTATGGGACAATTCACAATGTGCAGCACTACTCGCGAAGGCGCAGTGGACACACTGAAGATGCTGATGCAAAGGAGACAGAACAGCCAGTTTCCATAGGCTCCCGCTGCTGTCAATCAAATCCTGTTAGGAAGAAGCAGGGGTGGGGCTGAGCTGCGCTGTAGAGGTCTATGGACAAACACATCGGGGCTCAGGAGCGCAACAGCACAGCACACAGCTTGCTATGAGGGCACACACAGAAGAGGAGCTGAAAATGCCAGCAAGGGACCGCAGAAGTGGAGGTTCGCAGATGCTTTGCAAAATACCATTGAACAGGGCAAGTTAGTATAACATGTTTATTATTAGTGGCACACCCAAATGAAAATTCTTGGACCAAAACCGAAAATTCAGGATGCATTTGGCCGAAAACCAAATCCCAAGTAGACAGTTTAAAAAAAAAAAAAAAAAGTATTATTTTATTTATAATTGTATTATATTCGACTTTTTAATTAACCACTTCAAGTCCAGACACTTTTACCCCCTTCCTGTCCAGGCCAATTTTCAGTGCTATCACACTTTGAATGACAATTGCGCAGTCATGCAACACTGTACCCATATGAATATTTTTGCATTTTTTTGAGACAGATAAAACTTTATTTTGGTGGTACTTATTCGCCGCAGGGATTTTTATTTTTTTTTGCTATATAAATGAAAAAGTCCAAAAAAATTTTAAAAAAGCATTTTTCTTATAAAATTTTGCAAATAAATAATATTTCATCATAAATCTTGGCCAAAATTTATTCAGTTATCTTTTTAGTAAAAAAAAAAATAACCCAAATTAGTTTATAACCAAAAATTTTTTACATTTTTTTTTTACATACTGTCACCCTGTACCACTTGTGGGGGTTGATGAAGAATTTTTTTTTTTTTCTTACACCGATTGCTTTTACAACCATAAAAGCTGTAAAAGCAATCATTTCTCCTCTCTGTCTGCATTCATGCACTCAATGAGAAATACTGTGTGAGCTGTGATTGGTCACAGATTTCACACGTAAAGTGACATCAGAAGTGACATCTTGCTTACTACTCTGCA